TATGATCTGTACTAAATACTCTTCCACATTTTGGTGATTTTTGAGTGATACATCAAAAGATACAGAATTTCAAGCGCTACCAGAATGCGTACATGCTTTTGTATTTACCTAACTAGAAAATTTAATAAAAGAGAGAAAATTAGGTTTTGGAGAAATCTGAGGATTAGGGTGTCTTTATTGTGCTTTTTTCTCATGCAATATGTGTTATTCAAGATATTTTTAAATAGAAATGTAGAGAATTTTACGCGCTATCATAATATGTACAAATATTTGCATATATAAAAATGATGTATAAAAGAACTAGCACAACTGTTTTGCTTTCCAGTGAGTTTTTCTCGAAAATATCATAATCTTGTTAAAAAGCTTTCCACTACTAAAAATTAAAATAACAAAATTTGAACACCAAATTCGATGCAATTTAATGTTCTCTTTCATATGAGATTATATTCACATTCACCAACCTCACTGATATGACCAATTCATCCCATAGACTGGAGCCCTGTTTTTCGAGTCATATTGATTGTATGGAGAAATGCTTTTCCGACATAAGATACTTTCAATACTATCAAACAACGATAGCCCATTGGCTATACTATTGGTGATGAAAACGTTTTTGTTACAACTCTTTTCGTTCTTGAGAAAATGAAAATTGTCAATGCACAAAAACCCCGAGCCGTCTTACTTCGAGTGCATATATCTCCAGAATGGAGCATCCGTTCGAGCTGCAATTTTCAGTTTCTTCCTGATTTTGTTGCGACTACGGACTATAAAAATATGAGTGAAATCTGTGAGATCGATTGAGCAACGTTTTGCTGTAATTGGTCGTGGCTTACGTGTAATGGCTCCTAGAGTACTAATGGAATAGCGGCGTGACGGTAAATGAATTGTGAGAGGCTAAAAGGTAACATGACTGCTGAGTTTTGTTTGCCATGAGTCACAGTGGTCGGTCGTGATTTTTGGGAAACGTTCCAAAATCTCATTAGAGATTCAAATTCCTCGACCCTGAAAACCCTTGGGAAAGTTTTGTAACAAAAATTGTTGTTTTGGATAAATATCCTTATTTTACTTGAAAAAAATTGAATTTATATTGTATGACTGTCATTCAATTTCCATTTTCATTTTCAGTCTAATGTCAGATATCTATGAGCACCTGGTAGAAAAACTGGATGCTCCAGTCTTACACATACCCAATTCGGTTTCATATGCTTGAGCAAAGAGTCAAACCCGTTCTAAATTATGTTGAATACGGACGTGGTTTTTAAATAACTCCATGCCTTTCATTTTACAGTGTCAATAAAATATATGAATATGAATATTAAAAAAAGTAAGTTATTTTGTACAAACTGAATGGGAGATAGTTTATGGTTTCTTTCGTTATAGTGTGGAGCCGACATATGGTGTTCAAGTGGATACAAAAAAAAGACACTAAAGTATACCCCCTTTTTTTCTTTAATACTAGTCTAACCATTATACCCTTTTCTAATTCTAAATTTTTTTGTAGTCTATTTTTATTTAATTCAAATAAACTTTTTTCAGAACTCATACAAGGAACAGATTTCTTTCTTTAATAGACTGACTCAATGGATTTTAGTAAACACTAAGGGGGTCTATTTACAATAGCTTTTTATTTAATTGATGGATAAATTCAATTCTTTGCAATTTCTGTTTAAAATGAATCAAGCTTGTCATAATTAATATTTATTTAGAAATATAACAATTTATTTCATCATTTATATTTAAACATAAATATAAATTGTCGGTAATTTATAACTAAAATAAAAATAATTTGTTTTTATTTTAACCTAAATATTTAAAGGAAGAAATGTTTTTTCATAATTGACACTTGAAATAAATGTATCAATTAAAAATAGATCAATCTGTACCTTTACATGATGCAAATCAATCCGCTACTCTCAGCCTTTGCTTTTCAGCAATTGATTAAGTTGAAAATAATTTTTTTTCTACATATTGATAATGTGCTTGAATTAAAAAGAAAAATTGTTCGAAATAAATACAAATTTCCCAAGTCAACTAGTACGCTCTTGGTACGCGTGTCGCCACATATACGTGCGTGTACAAGCCGTGTTTGTCTGTACGGCACGCGTCTGCCTAACAACTCCCCATTAAAGAGGCTAGTAATTCAACAATGGTCGAAAAAGACGAAGACTTGTTTGAATATACTTAACAGTTTTAAGTAAATTATCTATATGTTCTTATGTAATTTTTACATAACTAAATAATATTATATTCTCCCAGATTTATTTAATCTTATTTTTCGCAGATTTTTTTTATTCTATTTTGTACATTTCTCTATATTCATTTGTTTTAGTATATTTAATTTATTTCTTATATTTGATATGATATTCCGTTTTGTACTGTTTTTTGCTGCTTGTGATATTTGTCAAAGACTTTTTTAGAATTATTGTATTGATTTAGAATTTAATATTTTATTACTGTTACTATTTTTATTTTATTTCTTATTATTGTTTTGTATTATTTTTTTAGTTTTATTTGTTAGCGAGCGCTTTTAATTAGATGTAATGTGTCTATAAATTTAATTTTTTCTTTTGTAAATTTAGTTTTAAATTTTAATAAAAGCAGTACGTTTGATGGGATCAGCGTGACTAATGGAATTTAAAAATGAGCCAATGAGAAAATTACGAAAATGCATAAATGCACTTTCTCGTGCGCATGGCGTATACGCATACCAAGCGTGGTGTGCGCGTACCAGTAGGGTACTAGTTGACTTGGGACTGATTTTTAATCGTTATTTAACTTTTCAGTCTGAGGTAAAACTTAACATCGAAAATCATTGTTGATGAGTCTCTCTTCTAAAATATTTTTCAAATAATTAAGTATAAGAGGCGTCTTACTTTTCTTTAGTATTCACGGAATATATCCTTTCTGACGTAAACTGTCAATTCTTTTAATGCTATCATTCTACGGCATTCGTGATGTTGATCCAAATAACTTTTTCAGATTGCTTAGGATTAGATCCTTTTTGTAAAGAGAAAACATCACTATCAACAGAAGAGCTCTGATTTTGACGGATAAACTTTAGTAGAAACATTGGTAAAAAGAAACAATTCTATTGATTGAAGCTTCAATAACACTCCTAATAATCATTATTACCAAGAGTTTTTCATCTGTGATCGTGTTTAGTCGTCCTGAATAATAATAATAAAAAAATGAAGAAGAAAACAGAACAACAAGAAGAAGAAAGAAAAAGCGAAAGATCAACGACGCGTTAGACGGGCACAGAAGAACAGGAAATGAATTTTATAAATTGTTCTACATTTCGTCATCATCATCATCTGCTTCTTCCAATGAGGCCTAAAATTAAATAATCATAGATTATTCTTTCTCAATTTCATCTACGAATTTTACCTTAGCAAATTTCTCAGCATCGTTAAAGATATTTGTTGGCACTCTTTCATGCTTACCATCATTAACTAAATATTTAAAAAGATTACAAGCATCATTTCGTTTTTAATTCAACTTACCTTGTCCAACCCAACTTAATTCTAATTCAAACATTCGATCTTTCACTTCATCATGGACTTGATAGATACTAAAAGATATCAAATAATAATTTATATTAATTAATTAAACAGTAAGCATTTTGTTTACATTTTAGCTGCTTCCTTAACAGCATCTTCTAATTTTAGTTCAGATAACTAAAGAAGAAAAAAATAACCATCAAATTTATCTAAAAATAATTGTCTAATATATTATCCATACTTTAAGTTTTTCAATTTCAGTCTTAGCTGTTTGTTGTGCTTTGCCAACTGCAATACCATAATAACCCTGAAAATAATACGATAAATTTCTTTCTTATTATTAAAATCTGTTTTTTACATAAGTAACACCAGATGGTTCAACGCCATATAATTGTGGACCATCACTTTCATAAGCAGCTAGGAGAATAAAACAACCAAACGGTCGAACAAAACCGTATAAAGTATAAGCATGCATATACATAGCAAGACGATCTGCTAAATACTAAATAGAATGCACAAAGAAATAGAAATGGTTTATCACTATATAATATTTCTATCTGAAACATACTTTAACTGGAATTGATACACCATAATCATACTTATATTGTTTAGCTTCATCACGAGCAACAGTTAAAAGTTGTCGGGCATCAGCAAGAAGACCGGCAACAGCCTAAAAAAAATCAAACAATGACATAATAAAATTGAGCACAAAAACGATAAAGTTCAGCGTACCATTCCAATATGTTTATCAACATTATGTATACGTTTATTTGAACCTGATTCATAAAGACGTGATGTTACGATTTTTTCAATAGCAAATGCAACACCATCTTTGCATCGTAATGCTACAACTGTTCCGCTGGCTTCAACAGCTTTATTCGCATATTCAACTTGAAATACACGACCGTCTGGTGAAAATTGAGATGCACTTAAATCGTACTAAAAAAGAAAATAAACAAACCAAAATTTTTTTTAGAACTACTATCGAAAAACACTATCGAACATACACCAGATCCAATTGATGACATTGTTTTGTTCTATTCGAATTGACAAAGACTTTTTTGAATCTAAAATAAAGTTGTTTTGAAAAGACACAATCACAGAAAAAAACATAAATGCACAACTTATCATATAAACATGTCGATAGAACAGGAAGCAATTTGATTGGTTCGTTTGACTTTTACCCATTGTCCATTCTTTCTTTCAATCAAACGAATGGATTTGTCGCTTTTTTTTACAATATATTTTCTTTAAAATGTTTTATCATCAGTTTCAACATTTTTATTTCTTCATTAAGAGGAATCTCGACTTCAGCATTGCTGGAATTATTTTATAAGGGTGTGAAGCTGGAAAAGATCAACACTTGTATTATCTTCTTACGCTAAACGAATGAGTAATCTTTTTTTTTCTCTACCTAAAAATTATCTTATAGATTTTTACTTTGATGAGCTATTACTTTAAACAAGAAGCATCTGAAAATTCTCAATTATTTTCTAGATCATGTTTTCATTAAAAGAAATATTTTTTCAACCACTTAAATGTCAACCAAATATCAATACACTACACGTGCATCGAAATCCGACAACAGGATATAAGCAAATATTTCTTATGGGTCTCGATGGTCTTGGTGTAGTTGTTGAATATGCTCAAGCAACAAATGAATTTAAAGCATATACAATATCCTTACAAGACTCTACATGTAAATCATTTATATAAAAACTATGCATTCGCGATGTTCTAGTTTTTGTTCGTGTCTTATTAGTTGATTGTCGAGTATTGAGCATGGAATTATTACCTATATCAAAATATAATACTTCTCCAGCCATTGTTTATGGCTATGCTAAAACAAATGGTATTTCGGTAGGTAGTTTACTTTGGAAAATTTTATTTATGATTCCAATTTTAATATTAGAGCAATGATGATTGTACAAGTTATTATTTTGATCGTGTTCAAATTCTTGATAATAATACAAGTAATCTTGTTCATAATTTGATAATCATTTTCTATATTGTGAAATATTTCTAGAATCGCCAACTCAAAATCGTTTAGGATTTGCTGCAAAATATATGAAAACAATAATGTATGCTTACAGAATAATTTAGCTTAAGTGAATATCTGATTTTTAGTACGAAAAATGTTATGACTAATGAAAATGAAGTTCTTCTTGTAGTGGCTGGAGCTGATAAATTAGCATTTTTTAGTGAAGTAAGTAAGATCGTTTCCCATTCATTTTCTTATTCTTGTGTTGAAACCCTACGACAGTATTAAGATACTATTTTGTTTTGTTACAGTTATGTAAACCTTGTGTGAAATATTTTGTTCATACAAACATAGACTTTCCATGCATTCAACTAGGAATCACACTTGCTTCAGCTAAGAATTGTTGAAAAGTTTTTACGTGTAATACGGAAATATATTCAACTATCCTATTGGTTTTGAATCAGAAATATATGGCGATATCTTAGGTTAACACTCTTGCATTAAGTTCTAATTGATATAATAGCGATCAACTGTAAAATTATTTCATTTGAATAAATATATTTTTCAACTAGAAAAATGAACGAACACTGCAAGATGTAACAAAAATTATTGATCTTTATCTTCCCGAATTGAAACAGGCGGCTGGCAAGTAAATAGAATTGTTATGATATTAGTTTAAAACAACGAATTTCAATTTGATTTCTATTCTCTTCAGTGTGTGCGCAATGGATCTACTGTTAATATGTGACCCGAAAACCGATCAATTAAAGCAACGATTAATTGCTTGTGGTTATTCAACTGGTTTACTTGACTTGTATATAACAGATGTACAACCAGATGGAAGTATAAAAACCACAGAGAAGACACTTGAATATGATAGTTTCATTAGTACAGTAAAATTTTTCTATCATAATCAAAAGCCACTTGAAAGTAAATTCATTAAATATAAGAATTGAACATTTCTGATCAAGACTAAAATTATTTCGTTTTGTTTTTCTAGATGAAAAGCCTCATCTAATTGTTACCAGTGCTCTCGAACCAGCAGTTATTTATCGGTAAGAAAATTTCTTTTTTTTGTTTTTCATTTTTTCGCGTGTTTTCTATAGAAATGTTTCGATAAATGGCTTGACTGATCCAGTCGTACTTCATGGAACTGATTCTCAAGATTGTATCACATCGAGTTGTGTATGTGATATTGATCTTGATGGAAAAAATGAAATTTTATTGGGTACATTTGGTAAAACATGTTTCATTTGTCGAGTACCGATTGAAAATTATAAGTGCAATACATACGATGGTTTAACATTTATTGCTGAAACATTTCCTGTTTGCCGAGTTTTATCATTAGCAGCATCTGCATTTGGTATTTTAGCATTAGACTTGACAAACGATGGTCTCGATGAAATAATCATTGCAACAACAAAGGGTTTACATATTTATCAATTAGAATTGAGTGAAGTTGTAAAATTAATAGAAAGTCGATTAGAAAAGAAAAGCAATGAAGATGATAGTTCATCTACAAGTCACTAATTTTTATTTTAGTTTTTTTTTGTTGTAGATAAATATTTTTTAAGAACAAAATAATGTCACTCGAAATTGAATCAGCTGAGTAAGTTTATGAATAAAATATAGGAACTTAGAAAATCAAATTTGTTTAACGGATATTAATACATATTTTCCTGCAAATCTAACACATCGCAATAATCGTGTAGTATTAGTAGCTTAGATAAATTTAATATTTCTTTCCGTGAAACATATTTTATTTACTGAGACTCAATTTTGAAATGACGATAAGAGATTAAATATTCAATTTTCGTTTTTTATTCATTTAGTGTTATTCGTCTGATACAACAATATCTCAAAGAAAATAATCTATTACGTACTTTAGCTCAATTACAAGTAAGCAATTCGAATGAAAAAAAAAACTAATCCAATTCAATTGCTATGTTTTTTTTTCAGGACGAGAGCGGTATATCATTAAATACTGTTGATTCTATTGAAAGCTTCAGTAGTGAAATAAATAATGGTCATTGGGATACTGTTTTACAAACAATTCAATCACTTAAATTACCTGATAATAAACTTCTTGATCTTTATGAACAAGTAAAAATAAAGCAATCGATCGAAATTGATAATATTTTTGTTGTTTTGTTTTGCTTTGTCAATTAGATTGTTATTGAATTAATTGAATTGCGTGAATTAGGAGCAGCACGTACTTTATTACGTCAAACAGATCCAATGATTATGCTTAAACAACAACAACCTGATCGTTACGTACATTTGGAAGATTTACTTACGCGATCGTATTTTGATCCAAGAGAAGTTAGTTATTATTGTTTCTTTTGAAAATATTCATTATTAAACTACGAATTTGTATATTAGGCTTATGCGGAAGGACAAAATAAAGAAAAACGTCGTCAAGCTATTGCAACTGCTCTTTCAGGTGAAGTTAGTGTTGTACCTGCTTCACGTTTACTTGCTCTTTTGGGTCAAGCATTGAAATGGCAACAGCATCAAGGACTTTTACCGCCCGGTACGATAGAACTTGCATTTTACTTAGCTGATTTTTGCAATCGTAAAAATATTTTTTTCAGGTACTTCCATTGATTTGTTTCGTGGCAAAGCTCAAGTTCGTGAACAAGAAGAAGAAAAATATCCAAGTCAACTAAGTCGTGTGATGAAAGTTAGTTTTATTTTGTTTTGTCTTTTTAAAATTGTGCTTTTTGTTCATTATAGTTCGGTAGTAAGGCGCATGTTGAATGTGCACGTTTTTCACCTGATGGTCAATATCTTGTAACTGGTTCATTCGATGGAATCATCGAAGTATGGAATTTCACAACAGGAAAAATTCGTAAAGATCTGAAATATCAAGCTCAAGAACAATTTATGGTTATGGATGGTGCTATTTTAGCATTATGCTTTAGTCGAGATTCAGAAATGTTAGCATCGGGTAGTCAAGATGGGCAAATTAAAGCAAGTGTTTTCTTTGTTGGACAAAAAACAAAATTCGTCAGACAACTATTTTTATAGGTTTGGAAAATATTAACTGGTCAGTGTTTGCGAAAATTTGATAAAGCACATTTGAAAGGTGTAACAAGTTTGGTATTTTCCAAAGATAGTACACAATTATTAAGTGCTTCATTTGATCATTTTGTTCGGTAAAAACCGTTCGGGTGTGTTGTTGATGATTTAAAATATGAAAATTATTTTTAGAATCCATGGATTAAAATCTGGTAAAGTTATAAAAGAATTTCGTGGACATGCTTCCTTTGTAAATAATGCTATATTTACGGTTGATGGCCATCATGTTTTAAGGTTTGTCAACTAACAAGTTATTTCAGAAAATAATAATAATAATTAAGATATTTTATAAATTATTAGTGCTAGTTCGGACGGTTCAGTTAAACTATGGAGCATGAAAACAACTGAGTGTAGTTCAACATTTAAATCATTTGGAAGTACGGATATTACCGTTAATAGTGTTCATTTGCTAGCAAAAAATCCCGAACAATTTGTTGTTTGTAACAGAAGTAATACTGTGGTTATTATGAATATGCAAGGACAAGTATGTATGAACTTTATGTATTGAAAATACAGGAATCAACATTTCGACCTACTACTAAAGTCTCACAAGGCAAAAGATGAGAAAGGAATTTCTTCCAAAATAGATGGGAGGGAGGGGGAATCATTGTATATTTAGCCAATTGTAAAATAACTGGGCCGGCACTTACATTTTGTTTTTGTAGATTGTAAGAAGTTTTACAAATGGAAAAAAAGAGAACGGTGATTTTATTTGCTGTTGTGTATCACCACGTGGCGAATGGATCTATTGTTGTGGTGAAGATATGATGTTGTATTGCTTTAATGTACAATCTGGTAAACTCGAAAAAGTTTTATCGGTAATTTCTATTGATATGATATTGATTGAATTTAGTAATCAATTTGTTTTCTTTATTCTGATGTAGATTCACGAAAAAGATGTGATTGGACTTAGTCATCATCCGCATCAAAATTTAATTGCAACATTTTCAGAAGATGGTACAATGAAATTATGGAAGTCTTAGACTTTTGTTTTTGTTTTTGTTTGTATTGTGTGAATGTCTCTTTTTTTTTGTATAAAATTGTGGAATAAATAAAAGCTGAGAAGAAAACTTGACGACGATGTACATATATAGCTAATATTTTGTTCCCATATCTGACAAGAATGGATCAATTTATTGATATAGACAGAATATTATTCTACTAATGAAAATTCTGGCAGATGATTAAATGTGGCATTGCAAAGAATAGGACAGGAAAGGCTCCCGCTAAAATCTACATTCTCCTGGAACAAGAGAGATCTCGCGTTTCTTTTATGGAAATTTTATTTATAATTAAAAAAAATAGACTTCAACGTTTTTATCGTGAGTTTCCATGTGTATTGAGTCAAGTAAATAAATCAGTAATTTTATGAAGTGATAGCCGAATTTTCTTCCTTGATATTATCTGGCCTTCCATTTTTATGCATTTGACAATGCCTAAAAAAGATGAATACATATCAATTTATCTTTTCTTTTCTTTTGTAAATAAAATGAAAACATTAAACTAACCAAATATCGTTTACATATTCTTCAATTGTTCGATCCGATGAAAATTTCGCAGCTGCTGCAATATTATGAATACATTTCGAGTACCATATTTGAGGATTAAGAAAATCTCGTGATACTTCCGATTGTTTATCAACATAAGCTTGATAATCACCTAATACCATCCAATGATCTCCACCAATTAATAATGCACCAACAATATCATGAAATCGTGATCGATCATCAGGCGAAAAATACCCATCACGTATTTGATCGATAGCAAGACGTAATTCTTCATTTTTTAAACTTTCATACGGATCATAACCTTGCTGTCGTCGTCGTTGTACATCTTCAACGGTAAATCCAAATGTATACATATTTTCAGGCCCACATTCTTCACGCATTTCAATATTTGCTCCATCTAATGTTCCTATAGTTAATGCTCCATTGAGCATAACTAAAAACAAAAAAACATTATTTCCCAACTAGTTTTCTAGAAAACAAAGAAAAAGTCGGTTTGAACTTACATTTCATATTACCGGTACCACTCGCTTCTGTTCCAGCTAGTGATATTTGTTCGGAAAGATCAGCTGCTGGAATGATATATTCTGCTGCTGTTACTCGGTAATTTTTTACAAATAATAACTTCAATCGATTGCCAATATGTGGATCACTATTGATGACCAATGCAATATCATTAATTAGTTTGATAATTTTTTTTGCAATTGCATAACCTTTGAAAATAAAACTATATTCATGTTCAAATAAAGCTCGATATCAATTATTTAAACCAGGAGCAGCTTTGCCACCAATAATAATTGTTCGTGGTACAAATGATGATTGTTTATTTTCTCCACGATCATTTTTAAGTCGATTGTACAATGTGATAGCTTGGAAAAAATTAAGAATAATTGTTTATTGCAAACGTAAAGAAGAACATACCATGAAGCAAACACAGCAATGCTCGTTTATATTCATGGATTCGTTTTATTTGTACGTCAAATATGGATTCCACATTAATATCAATATGATATTCATCTTCAAGCATACGAGCTAATCGTAATTTATTTTTGATCTAATATAATCAATAAATAAAATAAAAAACAGTTTTTCTCCATTTCAACTACTTTGATCTGTTGAATACGTGAAAGAATATTTTTATCCGAAGCATAACGATGAAACAATTGAAGTGATTGATAATCATTTCGAATAAATTGTTCACCTATGCATTCGACAATTAAAGAAAATAGATCAGGATTACAAAGAGCAAGCCATCGACGAAACGTAACACCATTAGTTTTATTTTGAAATTTTTCTGGTGTTAATTCATAGAAATCTTTAAACATATATTCACGTAAAAGTTTCGAATGTATTTGTGCAACACCATTGACAGTATGAGAACCAATTATAGATAGATAAGCCATATTTATTAATTGAATCGGTCCTTCTTCGATAATAGACATACGTCGAACACGATCTTCATCAAACGGAAAATGATCTCGCACATTTTTTAAATGTCGTACATTAATTTCATAGATTATTTGTAGATGACGTGGAAGTAGTTCTAGACGAAATAGATAAATATTGTTCTATGTAAAGATTCCATGGATTGATTCGTTTGTTGTTGAATGTTATTCAAAACGTGCTATTAATATTTCGTATAGAGGAAGTGAATATTTCATGTCGATCTCTATTCTTTTCACTAGAGTGCATTTCTTCAGTCTGTGTTAGGATTCTCTGGTATTTTAAAAATACTTTTATATTTTCTAATAAGTCGATACTCTGATATCTTTTCGATCGCCTATTATTCTCTATCGAACGAACTTTCAATTATTTGAACTGGCCATCGTTCGATAGCTTCAGGCATTAATGTATGATTTGTGTATGCAAAGCAATGGACCGTTATGTACCATGCATCATCCCATGATAGATGTTCATAATCAAGAAGAAGACGCATCATTTCAGGTATAGCTAATGATGGATGAGTATCATTTAATTGAATTGCTACCTAATACAAAATAAAAGCATCGAATACTAAAAATAGAAATAAATTGTCTATTTTTCTACCATATCAGGCATACATTTAAAATCAACAGATACAGATTCAGCTGATGGTTCATTAGATTTAGTTCCTGGTAATTGTAAAGTATTGTTTTTTGTCTCTTGATTTGACGGTTTTTGCCAACGTTTTTCACCTTTGAATCGACGTAAAATATCATGCAGACTAGCTGCAATCAAAAAGTATTCTTGTTTTAAACGTAATTCCCGTCCTTCAGCAATATTATCATTTGGATAGAGTACACAAGTAATACCTAGATTTTAATTTAAAACGGAAAATCGTATTTATCACGCATTATGTACAATGTAAGAATAATCATTTTTTACGTTCAGCTTTGTTTCGTTCCATGACTGCATTTATATATTCTCCTTCGTTGAAAGATTTGAAATTAAAATCACAATCAGCTTTAGCAGAAAATAGACGCATTGTATTAACAATCTATAGATAACGAAAAGTCGTCGCGGATAAAAAATAATGATATTTTTACATTGTTTTTATAACCAGGCACTGGATAATCATACGCTTTTGTTTTTTTTTCCGAAAATATAAATAGTTATGATGAAAAATTGTTTAACAGTTTACCTTGAGCAATCACAGTTTCATAATCAGTCCATTGAAAATGATTAGTAGATTCATGCCAAATTACTTTTCCATAAAAATGAATATGAATTTCATTTTGAACTCGTCGAATCTATTTCGACCCAACTACATTAGTGTTTCTAATACAACTAAGCAATTACTTCCCAAGGCATTGGTTGTCGAAGCCAATCATCTGGTACTTCTACTTGCCAACTAGATAAAAAAAAATAATATACATTTCAAATTAAGAATATTAATGAATTCTCATTTACCCATCTACAATCTGCTGTTTGAATATTCCAAATTGATATCTTAACCCATAACCATAGGATGGAATACCAAGTGTAGCCATTGAATCAAGAAAACAAGCTGCTAAACGGCCAAGACCACCATTACCTAATGCAGCATCATCTTCAAGTTCTTCAATATCATCTAGCTTGATATTGAGTGTTTCAGCTGCTTGTGTCATTTCTTCATTAATATCAAGATTAATCAATGTATTTCTCATATATCGTCCAATGTAAAACTCTAAACTTAAAAGAAATAATCTGTTAAATATAAATCATTGAAAGTAAACCTACCTAAGATAATATACTCGTTTGCCACCTGTCATTTGATAAAATTGTTGTGTACGAATCCAATTTTTAGCAAGAATATCTAAGAAAATGAGAATAATCTTGTTCTCGTTTTAATTATTCAATTTACCTCTTAAAGCTTGTGAAAATGCTAAATAATATTCTTCGCGACTGGAATGAAATCGATCAACCATTAATGTTAAATGTAAATGTCGATTAAAATTCTCCACCAGACTATAGTTGTAGCACGTTATTTAATTGAACTTAGTCAATGACAAGCAGTATCTATCTTACTTGAGAATTGTTTCAATATTTTTTATTTCATGTAAGGAGACTCGTAAATTTTGTGTTTCAGTTTCACGATGTTGCTCTTCTTCTTCGTCGGTTGGTATATAACGAACTGATACAAAAGAGCTACCTGAACGCTGTTTTTGTCTTCCACTAACACTCATTTATGATAAAAACTGACATAATATCTCGCGCATTTTTTTATTTAGTTCTGCCAATCATTTTTAGCAGTAAAATATATATCATTGACAAAGTCATTTTTGACTCTAAATACTAAATAGTATCGAATTTTTTCTGATGAACATCTTTTACAAAGAAAAGTTTACCCGGAACTATTATAACTAGCTATTGGTGTCACGAACAAGAGCTATTTGATAACTGAATTGGTGAATTTGATCTTAGAAATATGGCTCCGTCATACTGGGTAATTTAAAAGACAGACTGTAACGTTGTATGTGTGAAGGAAATGATTAGTTTCGAAATATTCACAAATAGTTTTAATGATTGATTGTGTGTGATGTTTCGAAATTCTTTTCTTCATTAGCCATGCTTTACTCTGTTATATGCCGCTACAAGGTCTTTGCTTTTTATGAAGTGATACTACTAAATGTTTGCATAGGACTGAAAGATTACGTTACTTTTATCACTGGTTTCTTCATATGTTTTGTTGCATTCATTTTCTCATGGGTTACGTTTAACGCCAACCGAATTTTGAAACGTTTCGTCTCTTATTCAGGCATGATGAAACATTTAAATCGGCAGGTGTTCAATTGTACTCAATAGATGTATCGTTCATTTTATTATTGAACGCCAAAAAGCAAGTGCAATTCGATTGATTTTTTCATGATCACGTTCGGTAGAGTATTGGATCTAGGCAATTGTTAGAGAATACTTAGCGAAACGATATGTCAACATAGTGGATAGACCTACGGTTTTACATTCTACTAGATCAAAAGAATAGAAAAATGGTACAGAATACAGAAAAATAAAAGCCCTCGTGAAAATCTACATGATTGATTTCTCTCATTAGGAATGTAACGCCCATCGACAGCAAAGTCAATGCGGTAGTCTACGCATGTGATCGAAACCAATTTTTGTTTGTCTCTTCAATCACATGTCATGCTTCATTGGTTAGATGATCTACCACAATGAAGCATTGTATTCTTTCTTATTTTAGAAAAACCCTTAATATCGACATCAATTCTACACAGGAATTTTTGTATTGATCATGATCTCGAATGATGCAGAGATGAAACGTATGCGTCAAATGGAACAATCGACCGATTCGACTCAACGTGGTTGCACATCATCGCTATTAATGTCATGTATTATTTTAACATTAACTACAGCATTTGTCTTTGGTTGGGGTCTTGCTGCTCCAAATATGTACAGTCACTATACAGAACTATTTCTCAAAGGAGAAAATCCTTGTTCGATTGAGGGTGACGTTGCGATTCAATCGAAACAAAATTTAACTGCGACAAATTCGATTAATGTTAATAGTAAACTCGATGTTATGAGCAATGAGGATTATGCTGGCAATGAAAAGAATATCAATCCAAATTTTCAACTTTCACCAGACACTCAACATGTGAATAGAGATAGCAACAACAATATGGAAACAAATATGAAAAAAAAACGATTCGATTTTGTTAATGAATTGATCAAAGGTATTCCACAAACGATCTTTTTAGTTGGCGCTTTCATTGGTGCACTGACTGGCCCATTCTGGTTGAAAGTTATCGATCGAAAACAAGCAGTTTATGTTAATTACATATTTACCTTTACCTCATCACTTTGTATGCTTCTATCTTTCTATCTTAATGTTTCATGGCTTTTCTATCTAAGTCGTTTCCTACTAGGTTACCAAGGTAAGACAGGTGAAGTTTTAGATCGAATTAATGATCAATCAATACATATTTAGGTGGCATGGCCTGTGTTGTTGTACCATCTTATATTGGTGAGATCGCTTCACAGCGTGTTCGTGGTAGAGCTGGTTCTGCCTTCCGCTTATCTTTAACTATTGGTATTCTAATTGCTCAAGTAACAGGTATGCCATTCATGGCTGGTAATTGTTATTCTTGGGGTTGGGGTCTTGCCATTGTCTCCTTGTTGCCATTTATTGGTTTGTTTCTTCTTTTTCTGATACCGAATTCGCCCACACAAATGATTGCCGTATACAATAATGAAGAACAAGCAAGAGAAGATCTAAGAAAACTACGCGGTACAGAAAATGTTCAAGCTGATATTGACATTATTCATCAACAGATACAACAACGAACTAGTGGTAGCCAATCAAAAGTTTTATCAATTCCGAAGGTGACTAGAAAAACAGTGGAAAGAGCAATGAATTAAATTCCTCAAATTAAAATTTTAGGTGCTCATCTCTGCTCGATATCGTTGGCCAATGTTAACTACTATGATTCTTCAATGGTCGCAAGCATTATCTGGCATTAATGCCATATTTTTCTATTCATCGAAAATGTTTCTCAAAGCAGGCATTTCACCAGCGATGATTCCATATGCCAACATGGGTACCGGTTTGATCAATGTCATTGCAACTCTTATTGGATTGTCACTAATCGAACGCATAGGTCGTCGGGCCTTGATTGTCTACCCGATGGTAGTTATGGTCGTAGTCTTTGGTGTTCTCACTTTTCTGATTGAATGCAATGAAGATCGCAATAGTACACGGCTAGGTGTTATTGCAGTCATATTCGTGTTCATCTTTCTTGTTTGCTTTTCTATTGGACTCGGTCCTATTCCTTTCTTTTATGCTAATGAAGTTTCCAGACCTGAAGCACGTGATAGTATTCAAGCATTAGGCTTTGTTGTTAATTACGTTGGCAATATTCTTCTGTCGCTCTTCTTTCCTGCATTTAATTCAATGCTTGGCGGTTATGTTTTCTTAATTTTTCTTTTTTTCTTACTTATAAGTCTAGGTTTTCTCTGGTTGAAAATGCCTGAAACAAGAAACAGTACCATTGGAGATTTAGAGAACTTCTGGAAGATTCCTTCGAATCCACCAAATGATTCACTTATCGTACCCTGTGTGAAAACATGAATTAGAGCAGCAGAATAAAGTGAACAAATAAATGAAAAATATTTGTGTTTGTTCTTTCTTTATTTCCATTAACAGGATGGATATTGTTACTTATCATAGGTGTCAAACTGTGTCTGATCCTCGGAACCAATTCAACGCATATTCGTGTCTATCAAAAGAAACATTCTTTCAAAAATGATTAATAAGCACAAAGCAGAATATTGTCAAATCATAGGAATAAGATTTCAAATTCGGTGATTTTTCTTTAGTTTTGATGACGAATCATGATTACGACTATGAGCATATAATTCTTATGATAAATGCCACTGTTTGGATTCGGTTGTTGAAGAACTTCGATACTACACGTGGCTTTCATTACTGAAATCCTATGAATACTGGTGGTGACTGTAATTAGAACCAAATACGTTAATTAAACAACAATCGTTCATTGATGAATGAATTTAATTGATGATTATAGTTAGCTGTTTAAACGAGACTTAATCGATGGAGTATCATCGAGCAATCGACACACAAAACGTAACCCATGCGGCAACTATTCAAAATAAATTTATAATAGATTCCATATCTTTTTAACTCTGTTAGTAATATATGTCTGATAGCTTATAATTTCATAACAAAATAGAAAATGAAAAAACAAAACAAATATAGAATCGATAGAAATATACAAGAAAGAAAAAATAGCACAGATCTAGCGTTCCACAAGAGACGTCAACCATCCAATATGCCTTGACACATTAGTCATAGCTGAATATGATTTTTGTAGGCCTGTTTTTGACATTACACCTGCAAGATGCCAACGACTATTGCTACTGAATAACATAGAACCTGCGCCGGAATCACCCTTTAAAAGATGTTTATTATCGAAAAGCTGATTCTTTTGTCATTCAAAAAAAAAACTTACTCTGCCTAATACACTGGTATGATTTGTACTTATTGCACAGAAAGCATCTTCAGCAATATCACCCAGTTGTCGTTGACATTCAGTTTTATTTTCATCGTTGTTTAGCACGCGAATATCTAATTGCTGTTGAATTAAATTATCATCAATATTACTGTATGAAACCACTTTCAATCTATCTTGATCTTGAATATGAATCATAGTTGGTAAACAAATCCAATCTGTATTCGATGAACGTTCTATACGTTTAGTTAATTTAATTATTGCAACATCCTCTTGCACAGTAGCTGATTCTGAACTGAGAGATTGATATCTCGACGGCTAGAACACAAATAAATAACTCTTTTTTAGTTAGTTAGTTAGTTAAAAACAAACCAGAGTAAAATTTTCGATTGAATATGATTGACTTTGAATAAAATCAGTACTGTTCAAACTAAGATTATGTACACCGATACGAATATCAAATATATCTTTAAATGAACTCGGCTCGCCTGTGATTTCCCATTGTCTAGTTTTGTCGAAAAAAAAATGAAATAAAATTTCGACAAAATGATTTCATCATAGTATACTTTCGAAAATGTTGTTCATCGAGACAATGAGCTGCAGTAATAACGTTCCAACTAGAAACAAGAGTAGCTGAGCAAACATAACGTGGTTCGCTGCTAGAATATTGTTGTTTAATTAATACAGCAGCAATCCACGGAAAACGTCCTGATTCAACTGGTTGCCCATCAATCATACGTTTACTTCGAACAGGATTACTAACTAAAACAAAGAGAAAAATAGAGAACATAAGTCATTGTTTATTCTTTTTTATTCTAAGAGAAAAAAGCAAATATTTCTAATCAAGTCACCCTTTTTCGATTTTATTTTTTTTGTGGATTTTTTTTTAGCATTTAGCCGTGAGCTAGTGTTAGAAATGGCAAGAGAAGCCATTTTCGTTGTTAAATCAATTGTCGTTAATGGAGTAGCAAAAGTAAAGGATGACATACCGACTGATCTCGGACTTAAATAATCATAACCGCATTCTAAATAATTTTAAAAATCGTATTCGCTTTTGTTTTCTTTTCTTTTCATTTCATTTCTTACCAATACATTCATCTGTTATCGTATTTATACAACATACGAAAGATCCATTTCGATCTTCACATCGAGAATTAATATCACAAGCGGCAGTCGATTCAGCACATTCATTAATATCTATTGATTAAAAGCAAAAGTTTAGAATTTACATGAATGCATGATAATCTGTTTATACTTGTGCAATTTCCATGTTCATTTCGTCGATATCCTTGAGCACAACCACACAGAAATGAACCAGCTGTATTTTCGCATATTTCATTATGATCAGTACATGGATTGAAACGTAAACACTCATCGATATCTATATCAACAACAACAAAAAAATCGTCGAATTCTTTCGTTCTATTTTTTTTTAAAGTAATTTACCGTCACAATGCAATGGATTGCTTACCTCAGGTTCAAAACCTGAGTTACAGACACATTTAAAACTGCCGCTAGTATTGATGCATCGAGCATTTGAACATGGATTAGGGACGGTACATTCGTCTTGATCTTAGAAAAAAAAATGTTTTTAGTAAAAAGAAAATCTTTCATTTATATATTCATATTCTAAAATCGATTATATTCTTTTAAAAATTAGATCAATTCTCTCTATTATTAATCTATTAATACTGGCACAATTAAAGGAAGAAAAGAATTAACGATTTACCTTGGCATGCAATTCCATCGGGTGTTGTAATTGTTTCAAAGCCGTTTTCACACGAACACTATAAACACGTAACTTCTATAACAATGTTCTATGGTCAACGGTAAACTCACTGTATAATTTCCTATAGTATTATGACATAGCTGGTGTTCTCCACAGGTGTTTAGATTTTCACATTCATTAGTATCTGTTGAAAAATAAACGTATTTAATTATTATGTTCCTCATTAATTTATTACCTTCGCAAACTGTCAAATCATGAGTCGTAGATGGATGTTGAAAGCCAGTTGTACAATTACATTCATAACCTATTCCATTAAATTTGGTACAAGAAAATAGCCCACATACAGGTGGATCGAATTCACATTCATTAATAACTATTAAAAAAATATTTAAGAAAAGAAAAGTTACAATAGTCCTTTGATAAACTTACGTTGACATTCACAATAAGTGGAATTTAATTGAACCAGTCTGTCACTTGGATCGCATGGTAAATAACATTCCCTTGCTAATAAAAATAGAAATAAATTTTTCAAAAAAAATACGATTCAAATAAGATGAATATTATTACCTTTATGTTTCGAGCGAAAAATAAGGACGCCAATAATAACAGCGATAGCAACAAGAATAATGAGAGTTAGAAATCCAAATATATACCAATATTTCGAACATATTCGACATGCTATAATTGTCATTAGGAAAATTATTTAGATATAATCAAGAAAAAAGAACTATTAACTTGTTCGATTACGTTTGGTTGTGTTATATGGGTTTTGAAAGTTATAAGAATTTCCAATGTATGATCGCATCGATGGTCCACGGGAATCAGCACCGCTGTAATCACTACAACAACAAAATACATGGAAATTTATAAAAAAAAAATTAAAAAAAACTATACTATTTTCCTCAAATACCTGAATGCTGCATTGCTATAAGCATATATACTGTCTTGACCGGGACGAAACTTATAAGCAATATTATTATCATGCCTAGATCGTTTTAGTTCTTTTGGTTGTAAAACAATTCCATTGCGATCGACAACAGCATCACGCGATGAAACTGCATAGGGATCATTTAGATACGAAATACGATCACGACCATCCGATATATAACTTAAATTATCAAAGTGTGGTTGTGTTGAATAAGTACCGGTTCTCATCTTCCGGCTTTGTGCATGACTAGACGAACTAGAAAAACAAAATCCGCAAACAAATTGTATCTATGAAAGAACAACAATAACAACAACAACAATATGTATAGAACAATAAAAAGTGAAGGGTATAATTTTAAATATTTTTGTTTATGTTTTTCTTATGCTTTATAATACTGCGTATGTACTTTCGTTGATACGAATCAAATCCTAGTATCAATACAATCTCAATAGCAGGAAAAGGGCAAGACAACAGATGACGTATCATTTTACATGCTCACCTTGCTTATTTCAAACTTTTTTTTTTCTACTCTTCATTGAATGTAGTCCCGTTGTTAGGTCAAATATGTGAAGAAAAATGTGGAGCGTCCGTACTCAGCGCAAGAGAGAACAACGGTTGGATGAATGGAAGTAAGAACGGTAAAAAAGAAGACGAGTTTGAAAAGAGCGCGCACGCACGTATAAGAGAGAAGAAAAATCTGGGCACTCGTATTTTACTTGAATAAGTGTAGAACGGGAAAAAATTTGAACTGAAAGAAAGAGAATTTCACGGCGAAAAATAAATATTGAATAACTGTTCATATACTCTTCGTGTTCTTTTTCGTTTGATGTCCATTTATCTTGCAGATTGTTTAAAGAAAAGAACGAAAGAATGAGACGGTTTATTTATGATTGCAACGAGTGAGCTCAACCATTCGAACATCGTACAATCACTACTAAATTCATCGCTCTGTTTTGTGACGAATTATACTTCAACAAAAAAGCATGTACTACCGAATAGTTGAGATACACGCATGAGAGTAGCTATCGCGAGTTAAGTCAGACAAAGCGATGACTCATAAAATCGAGAACAAGAAATAAAAGTGAGTCAGCGTTTTTATTTTAAATATTTTCATCAAACAGCAACTTGAAATTTTAACGGTGCGTTTTGACGTAATAGTATACACGCTGTATATTTCATAATTTACTTTGATTTACCTGCATACAAGTTTAAGAGGTTTTCGATTATATATAATTGATAGTATAGAGCAGAGAGAAGATTTTGTTTTCGAAATAAATATTTAGAATATATTCTCATGGAGATTTTAACGTGAATGTACAGCACTTCGAATAAAAAATGATTAATACTATTTTGTAAATGGTTTTCTATCTCGGTGTTAACAGAAATTAGTAATTTGTTTATCAACTCAATTAAATGATATATTCGACATGTTATTTAAATGTTTATTACAATAGTATAAATCAAAACGATTTAGTAAAACAAAAAGGAAAATCGCGAGAGAAATGTTTATTAGAAGAATTAACGATTCTATTGGTACCATTAACATCTGAGATTTTTCTTCATGTTGACCTATATGTCTCTTCTTTCACTCGGGCATGAAACTATGAAGAAATGGCTTATGCCACAAGATCATTTTTATTGATAAACCTACTAGTTGGAAGCAAAACCTTTGATGAATAAAATGTTTAAGTTCGCTAACTAAATTATTAATAACGTGGATAAGGATGAATTTTAGATTGATATCCATAACTTAACTTTAGCATTCGATTGCAGAAGATTAAGAAGTACTATTTTAACTTTCATTGGGTATACTTCAAAAAGATTATATCATTGCTAATGATGATGAGAGTCGAAATTCGATACTTCGCGTTGAATTATTAATGAGACAATTATGTGAACAATTTTTCATCCGTAACTAACAAATGTAGAGTAGTGTCTGTCGCTCGCCAATGGTTATTATGATTATCTTTAATCAATATTGTCCAAGAGTATGACAAACCCCAAATATTATTTCCGCGAAAAGAAATAAAAATATTCACTTCTGTTCTGTATATTGAAGTAGAATGCCTGATGACTGTTTCTCATTGATTCGGATTAAGGTAATCCAGAGGGTCTCTGATTTCAGTGTAAGGCATAGTTTCAAAAACAGAATCTATATTAATTCTTGATTTTACCAATGCAAATAATTCTTAGCAAGAATAATGACCACGTTAGAGAAAAACGATTTCCATTTTGAATTAAAAATTCAGAACCGAAAAATGAATATAATATTTTTTTAATTAATTAATTAAAAGAAAAAGAAAACTGTCTGAATGCGATATCAAAGTTGAAAATATTAATTGCCCAATGGATTTATTTGAAAAAGTGTCAAATCAATATGGAAAAATACTTACTTGAAGTTTGAATTCGATAAAGATGCAATTCATTGTGGATTGAATTCTAGTAAAGAGCTATCCACACATTAATCATTGGCAAAAACTATCATCTATAAGTATGATATGTACAACTGATCGTCCAAGAAAACGATTATATAGATTAGGTTTTTCGTTCGTTGACAATGATCCGTCTATTTGTGATTTCAACTAGTACGATGATAATCAACAGCTGATGGAAGTTGATAAGAATATTTCTTGGAAGAAAAGCCTGCCATGTTCTTCTGAATCATTAGAAGTTATGAGAAGCCCTTATCTTTTTTTTCTTATAGTGCACCGTTTGCCATAGAAGACGAGCAAATTATGAAATCAATATAGAGGCGTTCTCATTCGTATAAAATTTTCGAGAAAAAAAACAACGTCATATAGTAAGTCACGTTTTTTTATAGATATTTTAAAGTTCACACTGTGTTTATCCAAGAAAGCTTTTACTGTATATGTTAATTTGTAAAAAATCAACACGAAAAAATGAGAAAACTAAAATCTTTATTAAAATTGACATTCAATAGATAAATTGAAAGTACAAATTAAAAGGAACGACAAAAACAAAATCATTCTTGTGGTTGATCAAAATCATGATAATGTGTCACATACTTATGATTACTTGATCTCCACTCATTGGTACTAGATGAAAGTCTATGTTTTGTTTTCTGTTGTTGTGTAACAAGATTTAACATGGCTGTAGAACGTATTGGTGTAATTGGCAATGTTTTCTTTGTCCAATTATCATTTGACAATGATAAACCTTTATAACCGTAGGATTGAACTTTTCTCATTAAATCTTCAATAAATTTAGGTGAACTTTCATAGATATCCTCATTATTCGTTGATGATGTCGCTGTCGAAGAACTATTTGGTTTCTGTCGTTGAAATGGATCTTTAGAAAATGAAAAACGGATCGGCTTTGATATTAATTTATCTTTAGTATTCGTTGATGCTAGAAATGATTCCGATGAATTGACGATTAGTTGAACTTTGCTGTTCAATGATGAATTAGTATGTTTCTATAGAATAAATATTTTTATTTGGAGATAAATTTCAAAATAAAAAAAAGCAAAATTTTCGAGGTCTTTGTCTATTCACAGTGTTTTTTCTCTTTTTATTTTAATGACAATTATACTAATACTACTACTACTAATAATAATAACGAAAATACAAATGTAAAAAAAAAGAAGTATCGGTAATAATTAACTCACATCTGTTAATTTATCTGATGCTATTTGAGTATTTATCGAAGATGGGTTTTTGCCAATTTCTTTCAAAAAAATGATGTCATTTTGAAAATTCAATGTAGCTTTATTACTTTGATGATCATCATCATCATCATCTGTCGGCAATCGATCAGAGAAACGTGATTTTCGTCGTTTTCTACGATGACCATCATTTTCGGCTGTTATTGTTATTGGCGTACGCGGATTCTTATCTTGATTAGTAAAACGATAATCAAAATCCCGCGATCTTTTTAAAGATTTAGAAGTACTACTTGTGATAATAGGTTTTTTAGCTTTATCATCCTGAGTAGCATCATTGTCATTATCAACATCCATGTTTTCTTCTATTAAATTATCATCAGCTATTACCGAAGAATTTTCTTGTTTAGCTTTCCATGCATTCATAACAACACGAAGACGATCAGTAAATTGTGTGCACAAATCGTCACGATTGTTTGTTGTTAATATTTCCATAGTAGACGTCACTATTGGATGAATATCATCAGATTTAACAGCATGACGAATACATTCGAGAGAATCGAATATTAGCTTAAGTAAATCATCTTGTGAACTAAAATAAATTTTATTGACTGTTTGAAAAGACTAATACATGATATTCTAATCGTTGAAACTTTTCTTTCAAGACCGTCCCTTCATGGTTTTGATTTAGACAAAGTCGATAGTATTGAAAAATTAAAATAAAGCTTAGCTAAAAACGAATCAGTTCTTGACTTAGTGAAATAAATAATTATTGAAGAATTCACAAATTCTCAAAACAAAAATACAGATTTCGAATGATGATATTCTTAATGAGATTTCAGTATAAAACAAATTGTCATGCAGACAGCTGAATATTGTAGGGTGAAGACAGCGAGATAACCTTAGGGTACGATATAAATTACCTAAAATTCGTACTCTCTCTCTCTATTGTGAATAGGATTACTTACGATTGAATAGACGTTTGTTGAATACCGCTTGTTTGTGATATAAAAATAATATCATCGGTATCTGTTGTACTATCGTTATTTAGCCGTGTATCCTTTGCTTTTAATAATCGAGGATCTCGTATTGTCGTTGAATCTTGTAATGGGATGGGATTGTATACTAAATTATTTACTGATCGATTTTCGTTCGAACAACTGGATGATTTCATTGTTTTTCTATTTGATCCAACAATAACAAGAAATAGTTGTTTGGATTCAAATTTTTTCGGTACGGAAAGTGAAGATAATACATCGGGCGGACAATCTTTTGTATCAGCTGCTAAAATATACATATCACGAATCGAAGATGAACCACTACATTTACTAATGACAGCAGCTCGTTTTGTGGAATCTAATGCATCAACATATTTTAAAAACGAATCATTATCGTTCGTATTCAATGACGATGAAACAAGTGTCAATATAAGTATATCACGAACAGTGAGTGAATTACGAATAAAATCCCAAAGATCATGTAATCGAAGTCTTCCAAGTACGATAAGATGTTTAGGAATATTTTCTATTAGATAATCATTTTCGCCATATACATGAACAGATTGACATGCGATTTTCATATCAGACGGATAAATTGTTCCATGCCATTTGTTTGTTGAACGAACAACTGGTGTTAGTTGATATCTAAAGACGGCAAAGAGAAAATATTTCACTAATGAAACACAAGAACAAAAGAACAAAATAAGTTACTTCGGTTGTGGTTCATCTTGAATTTTCGATGGATTATAATCATCACGAGTAGTCGATGTAGAAGAAATCATAAATTCACTAAAGTCATTCGGTGAATGACTTGTAGATGAAATCGAAGTAACACTTATGTTGTTGTCATCTTCTTCGACTTCTTCATCATCATAAATCAATGCATCAACACCTGTTGGACTTTCCGGTTCAATATAATCATTGTCAAGATCCATAGTTGAAAGAACAGTATTTGATTGTTCACGAATAGTAGTGATTGGAGTTAATGATTTTGAAGATTCATCAGAATTGTTGATTTTTTTCGTTAAAGATGTAGACGGTGGATTTTCTGAAATTAAAATAATGATAAAAATTTCTATGGACAAAAATTAGATGTTAACCAGTAAGAGTAGATGACGATGTTTGACTATTTGATGCAAGTTTCGAAATAGTTTGCTCGACATGAGCTGCATTGAAGATTGGTTGTAAATTTGTGTTCTCAATAGATGATTCATTTGTTGTTGAATTACTCTGTGTTGGGTTTTTAGTAATATTGATTGATAAATTGTCTTTACTTTTATCAATTTTTTTCTCCCATGAACTTGTTTCTGTCTTTAAAATAGAGAATCATAGAAACTAAAATATTACTGCTCGCATTCGTTTCCTACCGATATATGAATTGGTAAAGCTGCATCATTATCAATAAAATCTTGTCTGTGAATTTTGATTCTTGCACGTCTTGCCCTTTCTTCAGCTAGTAGTTGCTCAGCAAGCATAATCGATTGAACTTCTTTTTCAAATTGATCTTTACGTTTTTCTTTCTCTTCTAAACAAGCGACAAGAACAATATTGATTACAAAATAGAAGCACATTTCATTTAAATACCCGGTGGTAACATATCTTCTGGTTTCATTGCCACAATTTGTTTCGCTGTTATTTCCTTTGACAGAATTTGTTTATAAAAAAACTATTGAATATTAGAAAACAAAGGAACTCGGATTACATATAATGAAAAATACGTATTTTTAATATACATTATTATTCATATTACTAATATTAGCAATTAATGAACGAAATTTGTTTTTGTATGTATTATCCACTTTACCATAAACATGAAACATTTCTTTTTCGATTTGATTTGCTATTAATCTTATATCACCTTTGGTGAAATTATCTTCGCCATTTTTTTCTAATCTAAATTAGTTTAGATTTAATGTAAAAGTAATAAAGAATAAACTATCACGTACCTCATTAGAATTTTATCGTATAAAGTTGATGGAACTTTTGATCTTATATCTGTTGTTGTATTATTTATTGTTTTTTGGTTTTGTGTTGAAATCTTCTTATGTTGATTTGGTTTTGTATCATTTTGTTGATTTGTGGTAATTGGCTTCGATAAAGGTTTGGATTTCGCTGTACTAACAACCGATGTTAACGAGCTTGCCAAATTCGTTGATTGATTTTCTCGTAATTGAACTGAACACTTTGATGATGATTGGATAATTTCATAAGATGGATGTTGATTAAGCCAAGTATGTAAATCTTCAATTCTAGGAACTAAACTCTTCTCAAGAATAGTTTTACTTTTATTATCATATAATGCAATGTCTTCTCGGGCTGGTATATCATCGTTATCCTAATTGATTGAACGACACAAATAAGTAATTTAGAAGACAAAAAAAAAGTCGAATATTTTTACTTTTGCTTTGCTTCGTCGGACAGTCTGTAGTCTATCATTAACATGACGACTAATGCACGGGGACGAACAAAATATTCTATTTGGTTTTGCTGCATTATTACAACCGTATGCAATACAGTCAACTTTTGATTCCTATGAAATATAATAGGTTTGAATTCAAAATAGACTTCTTATTTGCATGTTTGACACTCACTGATAATGAATCAGTCCGTTGAAAATCGATGTCGTTTTTTGATCGTTTACTGATCGCACCATTTGAAATATTTCCTGATGATACTTTAGTTTCACTTTTACCAAGATTATCTGTTGTTGATCCACTATGGGAATGCTTTCGTTTTATTGGTATTGAATCATTAGATGATTTCACAATAGATTCTGAATCTTGTAGTTCTAGTTATAAAACAATCAACGATTCAACAGATGGCATGTACGTTTGCATCAACCAATTAAACAACAATTGATCTAGTTTACTCGATTCAGTGATAAACTTCTAGCCTTGATATGCTTCTCTGTTAAAATTATTTTAATTTTATATGCGCAGAGCGACGCAATCATGGATCGACTAGACTGAAAGTTACCGTACCATTGAAACAATGAGAAGGGTAGTATTTACCCTATTGCATGAATTATATTGAATAGCGTATAAAGTAATTTCAAGTTACTAAGAACTTCGTGGTTACTTCAATATATAAATGCATACCGATCGATTGTACTTACTTACACAACTGATGGGAAAGAGCTCAACAAAAATTTTAAGTAGCATTAAAATTACGGTTCCTAGATGACCTTTTCGATTGCAATCAAAAACGTATAGGTAGTGCCGCATTTTAGAATCGATAAACAAAATTTGATGGGTTCATTTTTTCGAGAGAGTCTGAAATTACAAACTGACAAAGATCTTTTTCTCCAATCTTAATCTCAGAACACTCTATATTATTTGTCATAGAACATGTTGATACCTTGACATGATGAACATACAAAGTCATTGCCATCTAGTTCCAATTCTTTTGCTTCTTCTTTGGTCATTCCAACACTAGAATTGAGAAAATAATAAGGGATTCATTTCTTCTTTTCTTTAGTAAAATAATAATAAATTTATGTACCAATCTCCATGAAACCAATTAGCGCATGAATCACATCGTAGCATAAGCTTTGAATGATCCCATGGCATTTTACATATACACCAAAGACGACGATGAAATTGGTCAGTATCACCATTTGGTTTTTCGTCATCATCATCATCATCATCAATAGTTAAATCTATGACATCATCATAAATCGGTCTATGATTTTTTTCGTTTTTATTCATCAATGTTGAACTACTAAGACTCCACGTTGACTGGCGAATTTGTTCGTACATGCCTCGTTCGAGATCGCGATAATTTAATTTTGTTCGATTATTCCGTTGTGGATATGACTTACGTTTATTTTCACTAAAATCATCGAGATTTAGTTACACATAATTCTGTTCTATTACAAAACAAAAAAATTAACTTAACTGTAAAATTTTTGTTAAATCACTTTCTCTATCGTTTATGAAACGATCGATATTTGTATGTTTGTTAGATAAACCTGCAATGCATGAAATTTTAAAAAATTGACTCTTACGACGTCTAATAAAGTAAGCCACTACTAAGAATAAGCGTCATTGAAACTGACAAAAAAAACACACCTATTGTATCCAGATTAATCATGTATGAGAAAAATGACAAGATAATATAAACAAATCATCCTAGTAACAGCAAAATCTACTTTTCTTTTATAGTTAATCTATTTATAAATACATAATCATTTTGGAAATCAAATTTAGCGCGAACAAGTCAATCGCAAACTTTTCTTTATTTTTTATTATATTAATCGTTTAAGCGAATTCTAAGTGTCCTTTATTATTAGTATAAAATTAATATGAAACTATGTTCAGCTTGTTAATGAATTAATTTAAGATATATATATATATATAAATACTTGCAATGAAGAAAATAATTTCGTTGAAATTGAATTAATCTTTTTCTTGATTAAATAATGAATATTGTTGATTAGTTATACTTTTACAACAATCTGAAACTTATTCACATTGAGCTTTTGTGCTTTGTACAAACGAATGTTCTACTTGTATGGGAAAATTTTACCCATTTCACAGAGGTCACCAATAGTCATGGAAAATAAATATCCGTTATTTTACTGAATTTTTTTTCTACTAAAGAAAGTGAATCGATACTTAAAAAAAGTATTCTGTATTAAAAACCATTGAATCTACATGCATCATTTTTTTTATGAAGGTAAATTCATAAAGGTATTTATGTGATGATTGTGAAAACTGATTTGCCTGGTTTTTACCTTTGATAACACTGTAATCATTGAAAACTGTATGAATTTAATTTTTTTTAGAATATCAGATTTTGAAAATTTTCAACCAACTTTTAGTAAAACATGAAAAAAAATTGTTTTTCTTTTTTAAATATTATAAAGTAGTATAAGAAAAAATAGGTTACAATGACTTTTTTCAAACCATATTCATGAAATAATTTGTTGATTGATTGATTGATTGATTGATTGATAATAAGATAACCCTCGTTGCAATTGGTCTATGTATAGTAAGTTATTGATGCATTTCATTTAATGATAAAAATCTTGAAATATATATATATTTATAATATTCAAATTTAATGGTCATAACTAGCCAATCAGTCGTCAACTACAGACGATCACATAAAAAGTTTATTTTAAATGTCAGTCGAAGAAAAACAAGCACGTTCAGTTTTCGTTGGAAATATTCCACATGGAACAACAGAAGATCAAATGAAAGAAATATTTTCTGTTATTGGACCTATTTTATCATTTCGTGCTGTTTGTAATCGTGAAACAGGAAGTTCAAAAGGATATGGATTTGCTGAATATTCGGGTAGAAAATTATTCTTGAGTTTTTAATATAATCAATTTTGTAAAAAAAAAACTTATCAAAGATGTTGACACGGCTCAAAGTGCAATACGAAATCTAAATGGTTTTGAATTTGGTGGTCGAGCACTTCGAGTCGATAAAGCATCATCGCAAGCCGATGAATTACGTTTACTTCAGCAACAAGTACCTATCAATCTACCAAAACTTGAAAGTATTCAAAGGGCTAATATTACACCAGATAAAATACCTGAAGTTATTGCACGAACAATTGGTAAATTAAATCTAACTTAAAATTTTGCATCTATATTCATAAAGTTTATTTTCAGCTAATCTTCCATCAGAACAAGTCGTTGATTTAATGAAACAAATGCAAAGTATTATTAAAGAATATCCAGCAGAAGCAAGAACTATTCTTATTCATAACCCTCAATTAACATATTCTCTGTTACAATCGCTTGTTATTATGGGTTTAATACCTCCCAACGAAGCAACTAATATGCTACATAAACGATCTGATGTTCCTTCAATACATCTTTTCAATAATCCTCCATCAACATCTTTACCCATGGTTCCGCCAGCTTCATTTCATGCACAAGTAGCATCAATGACTTTTCCACCAGCAACTATGCAACAACCACAAGCAATGCCAAATATAATGAATCATTCGGGTATGTCAAATACTGATCAAGAAAAAGCTCAAATATTAATGCAAATTTTACAATTGAATGACTCTCAAATAGCTCAATTACCAGTTGATCAACGAATGAGTATTACAATGTTAAGAGAGCAGATTCAAAAAAGTGGAATGATTTCATTATAATAGTCATTTCTTTCTTGAAATAATTTTCTTTTCTATGTGTAAAATAAAAAATGACACCCTATCGTAAAAAGTCAAATTTTATAAGAATAAATTTTCTTTGAAATAATATATTTTTTTCCCAAAACCAGTGGAAATTTTAAATCATAGAGATTGAAATAGAAAAAAGTTATCTTTTAAACAATGCCGATATCAAGTCATTCAAATGAATAATCTTTTTTTTGATAAAGTAAAGTATCATTCATGCAAATGAACATTTAAGTGCACATTTGTCTATCACGATATCACTTCACTAACGCATGCTTTTGTCACTCTTATGTCCGAGATGCTGATCCGTCCAATATTTTATTCATTTACACATTATGTAGTCATGTGACACACTCAGCTAACCTGAATAATCTCGACGTGTGCATGGCATAGAATTATAAAAGAACAATATAAAGTGAATCGAAATATGGAAATGAAGTCAAGTGAGAAAATGAGTCCATCTCAATCTATCCATGCCTTTCACATGTATATTTTAAGACTATTAGTCACATATATTTGCTTCTTCTCGTTTTAACACTATATGAGCCAAGTGATATGTGAAGAGTCTCATCATCATTGAAATGTTATCTTTTAACATTGATAATAAATATATTTCTAATTTGCAAACGAAACTAGAATGAAGCAGAAAGAAAAACTTTCGTTAAAATATATAAACATTTGTCTGATCACTCGGGGGATTGAACATATGCTTTCGTTATATCTGATAAAAGAGCGTTTTTTCAAGACGTTTAATCCTGCTGTGTTTTATCTGTTTTTACAGAGAATATAAACCTTTTATTTATACATGTATATATATATATATATACAAACAAACTGTTCATAAAGAGCAAATTTAAAAAAAAAATTTAACTTAAGATTGCATTTTCTTTTTCATTTTCATGAAGAATAAGATGTCGTTTAAAATTTGCCTGTTTTGAAAAACCATGATTACAATATGTACAACGGAATGGCCATGTACCATTGTGTGTATGCATATGACAACGTAGATCACCCGGCGTAGAAAAACTTTTCTTACACTGTGAACATTGATGTGGTTTATCCTATTGGAAAAAGATAACTAATTATCTTGTCTTTCTATATCAATCAAAAAAAAAGAAAAGAAAGCATACTTTATTATGTGTCATACGATGATAGTAAAGATTTGATGAAGCTGTAAAAGATTTTTGACATGTTTCACATACATGAGGTTTTTCACCAGAATGTATTCGACGATGTGTATTCAATGATGACGATGTTGAAAATGCTTTGAAACATATATCACATACATACGGTTTTTCACCAGTGTGAACACGCATATGTCGAGCTAATAACGATGGACGATCAAACGATTTCAAACAATCAGAACATTGTTGTATATTGCGTCCTTGTTTTTGTTTACGATTGTAATCTATTACCTGTAAAGGTAAATGATTTTCAACTTTTCTTGTTGATGAAAGTATATAATCAATCATGAATGACATGATTTATGCGTCAGCGATTACGTATTTTAAGTATCATTGAAAAATAGCTTCGGTAAAATAGTATTTACTTTGTTTTTCTTTTTAACAGCTATAGTGTTTTTTCTGTACTTGACAAGTGCGTTTCACTTAATTAATTTTATTAGTAAAAAATTCTTTTGTCTTCATTCTTCACAATTCATTAGAAAGAAATCTTTTTCTTTTGGCACATAGATAAATTCACTCATTAAGAGAAAAAAACCTGATGATCAAATTTCAAGTCAAATTCAAACATTCTTATGCACAGCATCTACATGTTATTTCATGCAGAGAGAACGGCATACATAAGTGATGTGTTTTCGAGTGGTCATTAGTTGTCTATTGTTTTCACTTGATTTCATTTTTCGATTTTTATGATTAACAGATTAAATTGTAAATCTCATGTGGTTTCGGATTGACATCTTGTTGATAATTGTAATATTTATATGCACAAAAATTAAACTAAAGAACAGCACTCTGTGAAAAATACACAATGGTAATGAATATTTATTCTTGATTGAAAGCAAAGAAAAAAACCTAGGAAAAACAATAAAAGTGCATGTAATAGACTTATCAGACAGAAAAATATTTACGTGTATAATAATTTGCGTTTGATGCGGATTGAAATCATACAATTTTTCTGTTTGAATATTTCCAGTGTCACTTTGAAAATACGTGAGAAAATTTTGAAGTTTATTAATTTTGGGCACACTTGACAAAAAATTAAAATCAATGAAAATTTTTCATTTTCTATGCAAAAATATAACTATTTAAAATGATTGTTAAGAATGGTAGAGAGAAAGAGAGAAAGAAAGAGAACAAAACTTCGTAATAGTAAAATTACTAAGAAAGCATAGTAAATATCGAATCAACTCTTCAAGTCATTGGAAGAATTTATTATGAGTGCCCTGAAATCGGGTAAAATAAAATTTATATTTGTGTTTCTTCCGCTCTAAGATTATACTGTTAAAGGTAGTTAATTCCATCACCGTCAAATGATAAGCATCTGTATTTTATTTTCATATGAGTTTAAAGTCTTCACTTATAAAAACATGGATTGTATTTTCTCGTACTGTCATCAAATCATTTCGATCGAAAACGAAATAGAAAGAAAATAAAAGGAAGAAAGAAGTTTTTCATTGTTAGCATCGTTGATATTGTGCATAACTTGAGCAGTCAACACCGGATAATAATTTATCAATTATTTCGTCAATGTTTATTTGTGGGCGTTCAAAAGTTGTATTCGAACGGTTCGAACGAAATTGATTTTTTGTCGATTGATCACATGGTTTGTTAATCGATGCAACTATAGGTCGTAAACAATCATCAACAATGGCACGTAGATCATTTTGTGTGTTGTCATTTAATTGCTCGGTTGAACTTGTACGTGGGATTGCCGCATAAGATTCTTCATCATTGGCTGGCGGAAGTGAATCGTCATGGTTTGTATGTGGTATAATAGAATTTCGTCGTGCACGACGATATAAATGATTCTCTCTGTCGATTGCTAATCGATACGTATCATTTGCCACTCGTACTAAACCAGCTTTTTCTAATTTTGCAGATGGGGATCGATTTGTTGTTATACGTTTTTCAATTTTTTTAATAATAGCTGCTGAGGATTGACGGATTTTAGTGGTTGCCGGCGTATTTGTATGAATATCTTTTAGAATACTGTCGGAACTATTATCACGATACGGACGATGAGTCAATTTTTGACGTTGTAGTAGTGATGATGATGATTGATTATCAGTTTTTTCTGAAAGTGATGTTGGCAATCGATAACATCGTGCGAATGAATGAGATTGATAATGATATAATGATGTTTGAGAATCTTCTATTGATTCAACCGAAAGAACATCTAATGTTGATAGTGTATCTTTTGATGGTAGACCCAGGCCATCGTTGGTATCAGTACGTTCATCAGTAAATATACCGCTTGATGTTGATTCATCACGTACATCATGATCGTCAATCGATGATGATGAATGTGCTTGTGTGACACATTGATGTTTTTCAATGAAATTATTTAATGAACTTTGAGGATAACCAATAATACATTTGTTCGATAAGATTGACATATTGAGTTCCGATTTTACAAAGTCTATTGAAAAGTTTTCAGATAAATTTCGATGAGGCGCTTGTGAGGGTAATAGTTTTGATCGTTCAATAACTGTTCGTTCAGTATGCAACTTTTTTGTTGATATAGATAGTTTTTTATCGTTTTGGCCCATTGTAGGAATCGATGGTTCAGTACGTTTTGGTAATAATAGATTAGCATGATTCGGAAATTTTGATGATGGTAATAGCGAAGAGTTTTCACGTCGTGCATTGTATGGACGTAATTGAAGATGTGAATAAGATGAAACAACATTAGTAGAACTAATATCATCGATAGAAGTAGACGTTGGTGTAATCTTCTTTGTATTTCTTGTTGTCAAAAGTCTTGAAGTTTTTGATGCCGATGGAACACTTCTTGTTATTTTTGGCGTGGTCGCTGCTGTTGTTGTTGTTGTTGCTGTTGTTGTTGCTGTTGTTGTTGCTGTTGTGAATAGCCTTGGTGCAGCTGAATTAATGATATTAGTTCTTCTATCTGGTTTATTTGTACTACCAGATAATGTGCCAAACCATTTTCTTGCATTAAATGTCCACCGAGGTTTTGATGGCATTATTAACGTTAATAAATATGCTTTTTGATTGAAAAGAGAAAATTAATATATTGATAAAAACTTGCACTTGAACCGTTTTTCTTGTGTCAACTTTAACTTTCTAATTGACTAATAGTATGAACCGTGTATAATGATTGTACGAAGCACAATAAAAATTGTGAACAACACTCGAAACGTTTCCTTTTCAAATATGAAAGATTGAGAAAAGAGAAATCGGCAGTTGGGCGAGTGATTGAAATACCAAGAACAACAACAGGAGTAACAGCAAGACTTCACCTTTTGCCAGTCAATGTTCTTTCTCTTTCTCTCTCTCTCTCTCTCTGTGTTCCGCTCGCTCTATTACGTAGTGAGAAAAATACAGAACAATCAAATATTTTTTTTGTGACAAGTAATCAGCATCTTAGATTCAATTGATTGTGTTATGTGTTAGACATTTTTCTTCTTCTCTGTCAATTCTATAATAAATACTTTTGATGATTTATTTCACATATACGTATATATACATATATATACATACATATATATATATATATAAGATGAGAATTGAAAAAATAATAAGCCAAAAGGAAAAAAAGAGGACGGCTCAAGATACTTAAAAAACAAATTACAATACATATAAGAAATCTCAAAAAAATTATTAATAAATCGTTTCAATAAATTTTAATTTCCAATTATAATATAATTTAGTTTCTATCGGATTTGGTGACTGAATAATGATTACGATTGTCAATCGAATGATTGCTTTCATTTAAATAGTCAATAGAAAAAACGCTTTTCGATGACGACGATGGCGGCGATATTTGTTTACTGTAAGCCGTATTTGTGCAGTCAACTAATGTATCGGTCAGAGCAGGTGAAGAGAGAACGTTTTTTTCAAGTCGACATTTTTGTTCTTGTTGTTCATATATGTGGATTTCAGGAACAGCTTCTATTTCATGTACAGAAGTATCTCTATGTTTTACATGAGGCTTTCGTTTGTGTTGATGTACATTTGTAGAAGATTGTCGTTCGTTTGTGTTTGAATCAACATCGTTGTTTTTGAAACACAATATAATAAACAAAACCAAAAGCATACTAAAAGCTGCCGACACTCCAAGGACAACACCACCACCAAGCGTTCCAGTTGAATTACCTTCTATTAAACCTAAAACAACGACAGAATATTTAACGTAAAATGAAGAAAACTATATTAATATACCATAAATAAGCGTGCCAAGTCCACCAAGAAGTCCACAGGCTAAAAATAAGCCTATTATAGATATTAAGCTTTCCATATTAGGGGACTTTCGTATCTCATTGCTGCGTTTTCTTGAAGAAAATATCATGATTGAAGTAAAATCGTTCGACTTTTGTTTATTTTTTGTTAAGAAATTTGTTTTTTGGTTGAATATAATCGTAAATGAAAACTTGTTCAAGATTGTAATTCTTTCTTATCAATCAAAGTAATACGACGTGAATTTCTACATTTTCTCTCCTTTATGGCAAAACGCACTATTTCCCAGTGTCTCTGGTTACTTTTTCTTTTTTCATTTAGCAATTATCATCATCGTTTGACCTAGCTCTTTTTTTCTCTTTTCAAGTACTTCTACATTGGTTGTTTCCATCTTTTTCAACATAGACAAGTCCTATAAGTTTTCATTGTTTTTTTTCTTCTCTTTCAAGATTTTGTTCCTTATGCGATGAGTTTCACTAAAGAAAACTTCAGTAGTTGACATTGTCTTTCAGTACCTGATGAAACATATATAAAATATTATTCTCACACTCGCTCATTCTTTTTTTGTTATTTGTTTTATTCTATTAATACGGCGTGTGATAGCATAGTTTATTACTTTTATGTGTTTTTGATAGTGCAAAGAAAATAAGAAGAAAAAATGAGACCCAAGCATAAGAATTGAATATTATAGTCAACATTTATTTTTTTCAGTTTGTCTATGTCTTCAGAATTATTTATTCCAATAGCAACGTTTCTACTTCTTTTGATCATAATTGTTAGTATGAAAGTATATCTAGTTAATGTACATTATTAATCCATAACAAATGCGACCTTGATTTATGTTGAATTTTAGCACTATGCTGAAAGTCTATTTGTTTTTCATTAACGGAAGATTTTGTTTATTTGTATTTAACGTGAATACTTATGATGATTTGTGTGAAATATCTAAATAAAAGAAAAAGTGAAATTGAAGCCAGTGAACATCACAAATCGCGACATATACATATACGATTACAAAAACCATATATATGTAACTTATTTAATGTCAAATTGTACAAGTGAAAAGAGCGAGATATAAATTCTATGTTGTCCTTGAGAAGTAATGGTATGATTGTATATATCAAGAAAAATCTATATTCATACTATAAAAATTATCAACGTTCAAGCTAGTTGATACGAAAACGGAAACTTCAGTATTCAAAATTTTTCTCGTTTAGCCATATCATTATTTTATTTAATGATCAACGCAGAACTTTTAGTGTATTTTATCAAGTGCTATTACTATGTGAATTGAAGGCATCAAACAAGGTAGTGGATAGTAGCATGCTATTAATAATTTTCAAGCATCCTATCAGACTTGTTCTCACTTTGATTGTTTCTATTATCGTATGAATTCAACTTGCTGGTGCACTTCAATTTTAACATTTATTGATGTGTTTTATTTCTGAATTAAACTGAACACAAAGTCTTTCTTTAAATAATTGCCTATTTGCTTTACTATGTAATGCAACAGAAGAAATTTTATTGAATATATAACAATAATAGTTAAAAAAACAAAATGTTCGAAACTTGTGTTAGTAATAAAAACAATTGAGATTGTGATTAAGTAATTCTATTCTGCTTTTTTCTTGTCATCTTTTTCAGTTTTTTTATGTTGTTCAATACGTGCTTTCTTCAAGCGTTTAACACAAATTTTCAATAAGTAGATTGATTCATAAAGCCAAATACCCTGAGAATATGCATATATTCGTCAATAGAATTGGAAAAGAATTTACACTTGTTTCCTTACCACAATAACACAGCAATTAATAATTACAGGAAAAGATAAAACAGTCGATATGAACATTCCTCGACTATCAAAATACTGATCTTCGGCAAATAGCCTAGAGAAGTCATTCAATTTTAATCTAATTATTATATTCATTAGTTACTTACTGCCATTTTTCAGCACCTAATTGATTAATGTACTCTGCACAATAGATGCATGAAACTAAAATTAAAAGTTACATTAAGTTACATTCAATACTTTCTACATACGAAGGCCAACAAAAAGGAATATTTGAATATTATGATATCCGCGTGTAACGACAATAATTAATAAACAAATAGCATGAAAACCACATAATCCAATTAACCATGGTTCATACCAATTGATCTTAAAATCCACAAAAATTAAAAGCTTCTGTTGAGTTTTTTGATTAATACGAAGCAAATCTTACCATACGAAGAAATTGCCAATAACTAGTGATTGATTTTGTTTCAATAAAAGAGTCATGCATTTTTTTTGAAGTTTCAATTGTCTTCAAAAACGAGAAAAGAAAAGATTCAAAAATTTTCAGACGTCTGCATTTTGTTTTTATTTATTTATTTCTCATGTTTTTTATTTCCACAATAAATCAACGAGAGATATAACAATTCAAAACAACTACACCAAAAGTACAGCATTAATACATCCATCGTTTTCCGGATGATTCGTTACTTGAGCATATTTTCCCCAAACAACCTTACCACCTTGTGTAACCATACCAAGTTCGCTGACATTAACCTAATTTAAATTACAAAAAAAAGAGTTATTTGTTTATTTATTTGATAATAAATTACTTCAAGTACTGTTCCTTTGGTAATAACACCTAAGGATGTGTACAATGGTGAGCTTGGATTCTTCTTAACACCAATAATTGGTAATTGAAATGTTGCTCTCAATTCTGGATGAGTGACATGCGCTTTGGTGAATCGAAGTGCCTAAAATTGTTAATGCATATTAATTTCATCGATTTCATACTGGCTTGTATCGTCTGGGGAAGGACTTAAAAATTATAACTCAATTAATTGACATTGATCAATGGAAAAGCTTTTCTGTATCAGAAATCAGCACTGATTTTATTATGATTTCTGATTAAAGGAGTTGTACAAAAGTAGACGCTACTGGTTTGTGTGACCGATGAACTTTTTGATTCTATGATTATTTCATTATTTGTGATGATTAAAATTTGTTCAGGGACGATAGCAGGAAATGTAATCGTCTATCGTTGTAGTCATAAGATCATGCTCTTGGAAATTGATTTTGACAGAGTATTTTCAGTACTGAAAACTACGTTATTTGATTTTTCAGATATCTTTCTCTTATAGTTCTTCAATGAAACCTTATTACAAAATGCATTTGATTAATTATATTCTAATTTAACATTATTTTCGCAAAACCTATTCACTGTGTAACGATAACTATCGTGTAGCTTCCTAGATTGTACTAAGTCTCGCTGCCAAAGAACAAACTGATGATGTGTAAAATACTTCCCATGACTATGCTTGAGGTGTTTACTGTATTATCTTACCATTGGACGAATAAATCGTTCAAACTTTGGCGGTTTTCGTGTAAATCCTTCACCAACAAAACAAGGCTTTGTAACCAAACGTTTCCATACTTTCTCTAGATACGCACACAAAATGATTCTATTATTCAATTATTATAATTGAATTTCATACTTCGTCGTTTTCCTGATTGTACAACACGGAAAACTTCAGCTTCACTAACTGCTTTTACTTTCGGTATTGGTACGTCCCATTTACCCTACAGAAGAATCAAAAGAAAATCATTTTTCCATGAGAAAAAAAATATTTTTATAAAATTACCGCTTTTTCTTTTCGTTTTTGTTTAATAGTATTCGATAATACTTTAGCTCGACTTTGTTTTTCACGGTCAAGTAAATAAGCGGGTACGGCACCTTCTGGTACTTCTTCGCGTTGTTTTGTTTCTTTTTCTTCGTGACTTTTAATTGTTTTTTTCATTTGAATCTTTTCATTTTGACGACGCTTATTATATAATTTAGCTCTAAATAGAATAATTCATTCAAATAGATTGAATTGTTCTTTTCAAAATATTTTTTATTTACTTGATGCCACGTAATGTTTGAGCTTTCTTCGATAAGATATGTGGCAGACGTCCTTCTTTCTTCTTTCTAGAAAAATAATGGTTTTTTTTTCTTTTTCATATAAATTGCATAAGTATTCGTTTCTCTCACTGTTTTTCATCATGATCGAATCGACGACCATGTCGTTTACGATGGAGTTCAATATGTTCGTTTTGAGGCTAAAGTGCATATCATTCGATTTTTAACTAAAAAAAATATATTTATTTTCTCACCATGGTTTAGTTTCAATTCGAATTTTTACCAAAAGTGTTCTAATTAGATATCTGAAACAAAAGAGTTTTTTTTTTTTGAAAATTGAATATCGAAAATCTCGACTATACACGAACATTCAAAAGATAGACTAAACATTAACCATAGCCGTACATATTTTATTTTATTTCATCATTTCTCCAGAGGCGAATCATTTTTCATGACAGATGGCGCTCTACTTTTCAAACTCTAATTTTATTAGCATTCATTCAATAAAATTAATCCGAATATATTTTTAATTATTTAAAATAGATATATTTTTGACAAAATATATCTATTGGCCTAGTTAAATGATCCATTAAGAATAAAGATAAATAAATAAATAGTTCTCATATAAACATATGAAAAGAATATTAATATTAATATAGATCTAGCTAGCTCAGCGTTGCATTTGAAAGATTAATGACAGGCGAACCTCCACCAGCACAGCAACAACGTGCTGTCGTCGAAATTTATGTGCGTTCAAAATGGATCAAAGCTAGTTTAGCGCTCGAAGATGAAAATCTATTCATTGAATATGCACATAATAAGCAAGATCAACCATCACCAAGTGTACAATTAAATAGCACAAGTACTAATGAAGAAACGCCACAAACTAATGGTTCTACTAATAATTATACACCAGATACAATAACAAGTCAGAAACGGACAGTTAAAATAGTCAAACCAGATAATACAGGACTTGGTATAAACAAAGCTTTTTTGCTTTCAACATTTGTCTCATTTACATTTTTTTCGCTTCATTTAGGAATTAGCATAAAAGGTGGAAGAGAGAATAGAATGCCAATATTAATAAGTAAAATATTTCCTAATATGCCTGCTGATCAAACTGGTCAACTTTATGTGGGTGATGCTATTCTGTCTGTTAATGGAAAAGATTTGCAACATGTTTCACATGAAGAAGCAGTACAAATATTAAAAAAAGCTGGCAGAGAAGTGGAACTCGAAGGTTTGCTTGACATCAAATACGAACAAAAATATAAGAATCACGCATTAAGATGCATTGATCTCCTGGTTAGCTGACAGCAATTCCGGAGATCGTATTGTTTAAAACGGATAAAAAGTTTGAATCAAGTAGATACATTCGATTTAATTAACAATAGACCACAGAGAAAACAGCAAGCTATTTAGGTCTTGACATTTTGTTAAAGAATTTTATTGTTTTCTATTTCCTGCATTATTTATTCGTCGGTTCTTCAAAAGAAAAAGAAAAAAAGGAAGAATTAGTAAATAATTCTATTCAGTTGAATTTAACAAAGAAAAACAAGAATATATAGAAAATTTCCGAAAGAACATATGAAATAATTTTAAATAAAATATTAAAAAGAAAAGAATTCATCTAGGTCTCTATGAATAATCATCAATGTTAGAAATCTGATGAGCCCTTCAAAGTTCAATTGTATGTAATTCTGAGAATATGTTTCTTCTTCTTATAATTCAACAATCATTCGGGCTTCATTGATATTTGATCTTGAACTTAATATTTCATTTTCAGTAAATGTTAATTATTTCCTTTGATTTTTAGTTCGATATTTACGTGAAGTAAATGTTTTAATGCAAAAGCAAAGCTCAAATTATTCTCGAAAACAAAATCATCAAGAGTCTCAAGATAATCTAACTGAATCTAATATCTCGCCTTTAAATACTCAAAATAAAGATCTGTCAAATTCAAAGAAAGCTTCAACAACTACGTCAAACGATTCAATGCTTTATGAGACGAAACGTATATCGCTACGTTTATGTTATATATTTCGTCGTTCGTCATCAACGAATGATATTCTTGTATTATCAACATCGACATCAAATTCACCAATAGCAGCACCATCATCATCAACGGATGGTTCTATATTAGATATTGTTTTACCATATGCTCAAACATGTTATAGCGTACGTTTTGTTGATGATATGCACGCTAGAAAATGGTTTCATATAATTCATTCGAAAATTTCTCGTTGTCTATTGGAAATTCTACCTGAAATTGAAGAATATTTTTATGTTGCACGTCATGCTAATGAAGTTAAAGCATTAGGTTGGCTGACTGAACAAGTTAATAATGATGAAGTAACATCAACAACTAAATCATGGAAACCTATTTTTCTTGTTTTGACTGATGCGGAAATATGTTTTTTATGTTGCGCACCTGTCTCAAGACAAACATGTCGAGAACCAGATCTTGTTTATCCGATTCTTTCAACAAGGTAAACAAAAATGATTATTCAATTCTTTTCCAGACGATATCCGTTCGAAGTGTCATTTGATATTTTCAGTCAAATGTTCTAATCGACATGCGATAGTCATGTCGAAGATATAAGATAATTAGTTTCCGGAAACTTTTTTTCTGTTTCAGTAATTAGCACATTGTCTACACATATATATTTGTTAGATGTTAAGAATATATTGAATTCATAGTTGCTGGATCTACTCGTTCGTGCAAGTTTATTGCCGATTTTCCATTGGATCTGGAATCGATTAATATAGCATTACGAGTCTTGTATGGACCTACTTTCTTCATTATATTTCTAAAGTAGCACTACATACAAGAATGAAGAAAAAAACAAGTCCCAAAGTAGATGATAGAATAAAAGATGTTCTAGTGATTAGTAACAGCAGCTATATCATATTTGTTATGTTGTCGTGGTGTGGATAATGGTTTTGTTTTTGTCTTCTATTTAATGTATTGATCATATGTATATTTTTTCGAAGGCTTGTACACTCAACGCGCGATTCGCTTAATGATGCTGATGCATCATTGTTATCATTACGCGTGGGAACAAAATTTGGTGTTGTATCACATACATTTCGAGTTGAAACCAAAGCTGATTTAACTTATTGGACCAAAGCAATTAGTCAATGTTTACAAAGTGCTGTTGTACGAACCAAAGAAGTTGTTTTTCGTATGTTTAAAAATTCATTTTTTCTATTTTCAAAAACTTTTTATTACATTTTTGTGTTTTATTCTAGCGTGTAAATGGAATAATAGAACATGCAAATTATTTTTAAATTATGAACATGGCTTTACATTATATAGTGATCCAACTGATTCAGTAACAAGTGCTGGTAATGCAGCAAGTACTGGTAATGTTCGCCTACTGTGGCAACAACCCTTTGAAAAACTTCGCTCATCAGGTGACGATAGTGAACACTTATTAACATTAGATTTTCATGGTGAAGAAGGAGTAGTGGTATGAGAAAACGAAAACTTCTAAGATGATTTCAGCAAGATTTTTTGTTTTTTTAGGAATTAGATTTTGGCACATCTCCAAAACCGTTTGTCTTCCATTTACATGCGTTTTTATCTGCTAAAGCGGCACGAATCGGTCTTGTTGGATAAGATTTTGTTTTATTCTTTGATCAATATCTTTTTCATCTAGTCACAAAAGAAAAATAAAACAATTTTTTGCGATGTTCACGACTTGTTGTGTTGTAGGACAGTTACCCCCTTTTCTTTTGTTTTTTTTTATTGGCCTTGCCTTACACATGTTTTCTTTCTCTTCTCAGATACTTGTGTTTTTTTATCAATGCAAAATCAAATGATTATTTTTTTGTTTGTTTGTTGTTTTCGATTTCGGCGTCAAGCAAATGCATGAATCAATAATCCTTATCCATTCACATTTTCGCTCTTTTTGATGTATTAATAATAATATCATTATTATATAACAGTTTTTTTTCTTTTTTCTCTCGCTCTGTGTGCGCTCTCTCTTTCTCTTTTTCTTTGTTTTGCACCGATTCCTTAAACAAAACGAAATTTATATATTGTATTCTCTCTTCGCTTATGAGATGATGAATCAAATTTGAAAAGAAATAAAATCTAAATTCATAGCTAACTTAATATGATGAGTTATTCTGCTTTAATTTGCATGAAAATTTCGTGTTTGTTGATCATTAGAAAAGAGAAAACAATCGACGCATTTCGAACAATAAATTTACTACAAAGACATAGTCAGCTGACATTCACAAAATAAGATGACTCATTCTCATCATACAACAAGTATACTTAGTTGTTTTTTTCTTTCTTTTTTTCTTTCTATACGATTCTTTCTGCCTTAACGTAGCCCGTATAAAAAGTGCAGCACGAACGTATTTTTACTGAGTAAGGGTAAAAAGAAAAGTAAGAAGTCTACCAATTACATTCACACTACGCCATATGATCGTATGACTTGTTATTGAAGAAAAAAACATGTATCAGCAAATCAATAAAAAGTACTTTTTTTTAATGATTTCTAGATTTTTACTGTATTAAACATGCGTTTGATTATACTTTTCACCGTTGTTTCTATTTCATTGGTGACATCATCACCAGTTTCAGTTGACGATGAATTTTCTTTGCCATCATTGGAAAATATTGAAAGTCATATTGATAATCTATGGACAAATTTTAAAAAAGGTTATAATATTGTGTATAATACCAGTGTCGAAGAAGTTCATCGTTTCAAAATTTTTACTCATCATGTTAAAATGATTATTCAACACAACATTGAACATGATCTTGGTTTACATACTTATCGACTTGGTGTGAATAGATTTGCTACATTGGTAATGAAAAACAAATAATAATAATAATAATAATAATAATCCATATTAAAAAGAAAATGAAACAATGTGTTTTTCTATTTTTAGACAAACGAAGAATTTCGTCAAGCATTTAATGGATATCGACGTAAGAAACAAGATCGATCTCAATATTCAGATATTCGTCGATCGCATATTTCTGCATCACCATTTATCACTATTCCAGTATCCGTTGACTGGCGTGATCAAGGTATTGTAACACCAGTTAAAGATCAAGGTCAATGTGGTTCATGTTGGGCATTCAGTAGCGTATGTATTCTAGTAAACGGATTTAACAAATTCGATCATCTATGAAATATTTTTAGACGGGCGCCCTGGAAGGTCATCATGCTCGAGCAACAGGCAAATTACTTAGTTTAAGTGAACAACAACTTGTTGATTGTTCAACAAATTGGGGTAATAATGGATGCAATGGAGGTTTAATGGATAATGCATTTAAATATGTACATGACAATAAAGGTATCGATGATGAAACAGCATATCCATATCTTGGAAAAGTAAATAAAATGATTTATTAATTGAATAGGCGGGTTATAAAATTTCTTGCATTTTAATTTTACAAATAGGATGAAGCAGCATGTAAATTTGCTCGAAAATCTGTTGCTTCAACATGCGATGGTTTTGTTGATATTCCAGAAGGAAATGAGACAGCACTTCAAGAAGCTTTAGCTCTTCAGGGACCGGTTGCAGTTGCCATTGATGCTAGTCAATCATCATTTCAATTCTATGTTTCTGGTAAGTCAATGATTGAAAACAATTGTTTTTCTTATATAATCAGTTTAGTTATGTAAACGATTTCGTTTAAAAAAACAAAGAAATATTTAATGTAGGTTTTAAGCTGCTGAATTCATGCGTGAAAAAAAATATACGAGTCATTTGAAAACATTTTATTTTTAAATTTTGTTTCTTTTTGCTAGGCGTTTATTCTGATCCAAAATGTTCATCGGAAGAACTTGACCATGGTGTTTTAGCTGTTGGTTATGGTGTCGCTAGTGATCCAGTAAAAGGTCAACTAGAATATTATATTGTTAAGAATAGGTAACTTCAAAAAAGGAACTGTTCTGATTAAAATTTAATATTACGAAATTTTTATTTCAGTTGGTCGGCTGCATGGGGCGATAAAGGATACATTAAAATGGCTCGTAACAAGAAAAACATGTGTGGTATTAGTACGGCAGCTAGTTATCCACTTGTTACAGATAAAACCTCAAACAGTGCTATTGCATTCGAATATCTCAATTAAAATCAAGAAAAAACGCAAAGGACAATTCATAAATATTTTCTAGAATTTTCATCATAATTAGGTATTCAGAATTTTTAATTGCTATCGCTTGTGATTCTTAATTTATTTAAACAGTGAAAGAAAAAGAAATCATCGTTCTATTGTTTTTTGTTTTCATTAGTTGAATTTCTTGTTATCTGTACCTAGTACATAACTTTGAAATTCATTTATATTCCGTTTTGATTTGATTTGATTTTGACTTTAATCTTTCTTTTTTCTTCTCTTTGGCTGTGGCTATTTAATAAGAAGTTAACAATAAATTTGTATGTACATATAAGCATGCATTAATACAGCGTTTTGGTGTTTTGTGTAGATTATAACAATTATATTTTGACTATTTGCTAAAGATCACGACTAAAATACAATGACATTAATAAATTACTAAGGACAATTGTATGACTAAAAATCATATATTCTAGTTGTGATTAGGAAAAATATTTCCATACTTCCATAATAAAAATGATTTACAGAATTGCCGTATGATTTCTGTATTATAAATATAATTTTTGTTTGATTCAATGATTGGGAAAAAACATTTTTCGGTAGTTTATTTACATTAGTGTTTTCTATTTGAATTCTCATGATAGTGTCTCGATGGTTGTTGTAGCGAACTGTTCTGCAAACAATAAAGAACTCATCTCATGTTGTACATCAACAGAAATTTCCGTCATACTGTCGGTTACATTTATTTTAGAATCAATGCTGTTTTTATTTTGTTAACATTTATCCAGTGTGGTTCTCTTTCACAATGTATATAATGAAAAGCAATAAATGATTTTTTCATTTTAATATTTATAACTATGTTTAATGATGTTCGATGCATATTGTTGTAGGTTGATGAGCATATTTAGTGTTCCGACCACAGAATGTCGTACGATCCACCACCTATATGTTACATTTGTGAGAACAAGAATCAAATAAATGAAGTTTCTGTATTAAGCTTTTTTGTTTCGAAACAGTAAGTGAATTGGATTGATGAAAAAACTATAATCAAATGAATGTTAAATAAAAATATTTTATTGCTTGTTTCGTTTTAGAGTCATGTTGATTGCAGCTGATAAGAATTTCTATGAATGTTTTGAATAGCCTATCATATTTCCGATCGATATCTAAAACATATTTTTTCCTTGAAAGTTTTGTTTTCACTTTAGATTGATAAATGTAAAGGAATAGTTAATATGTCTTAAACATTTCTATTGCGAAATTGCTATACTGAATGAATTGCATCAGCTTACTTGAAAAGAATCATGAGAATTAAATTGCAATAACAAGACATTACTATCGATGAGAATGGAACTAAAAGCCAATTTATTTCATTCTAAAAATAAATGTCTCTTTAAAACAGAGCTGAAATGAGTAAACGAATTTTAATCTTTGGTAATATTGTCAGTTCACTGAGAATTAGTATTGACCTTTATACTTTTTTTAATCTTAACCTATATAACTGGCATACACGTCTTAGTGAGTAGCCAAAGAAATAGACAGAATCGGAATTAAAAAAAAGAATTCATCAAAAAACGATTCCAAAGATTAATAGTAACACGAATCTAGTTCGTCAAACCTTTTCAAAAAATCTAGTAATTGATTATATACGTCAACATTACAGGTAATGCGTATCTGCGTTGCACAACAAATGAAAAAGATCCTAAAAATAGCACGACCAATACTAAATACAAAAAGATAAAATATAATTTACGATCAACATAGATCGTGAAGAGTCAGTGATTGTAAAGCTGCTGATTAAAAATAAAATAGGATCTGCTCTAAACTTCACTGCAACGTTTTTTTTCTCTATTAAGTTTAAATGAGTTCATATGGTCGTGTATATTTAATTTTAATGTTTAGATCGAATCTATATCGTTTTGATTGTAGTGAAGGCATGTTTTATTTTAGAATTCAAATGTCGCCAAAGAACCTACGAAGAAATCCAATAGTATTCACAAATATAGGCAATATTTGAAAAGGATAAAACCAAGCAGAGAAAGAATCAATAGATAATGATTACATAATTTGTTCAACAATCTCTGGTTAGCGTTTTCGTCAGCGATCAAGAAGTTGGCGCTTCTACTATCAGGTAGAACATCATAGTTAGATAAATTCTAGCAGCATTCTTGTTAATAAATAATGATGCAGTGAAGAAAAAAAACGCAGATTGTATGAACTGAATTAGAAATTGTTTACGTAGAGACGAGTATGTGAGAACAAACAGAAAAAATCATTATAAACAATCTTTTTAATGGATTCTAACATGAATCATAACAAAATATAACAATGGATACGCACATGACAAACATGTGATACATCTATAAATATTTGCTGCATTTTTTCGTTCTTTATGAAGTACACTTGCTTTATATTAGCATGACTGAATATGTTTAACCAGGGGGGAAAAACTGATTTCTTGTGCCAGAAATCATGAGAAATCACTTAAGATCATTAAAAGGCGATCGGATGAAAATGAAGCCCGAAAATTGATTTTGACTATTAGAAAAACATGAGAAACCGTTAGAAATCACTAAAAATAATTTCATATTACAAAAATTCTCCAACTATACAGTAAAAAAAGAACATCTTGATTTCTAGTGATTTCTCATCGACTTTATTAATCTCTCAACATTTTCAACGACTTTCGACAATGTGGCTTTTACATATAAAACTGATTTCCTGCGATGGAAATCATTAGAAATAGCTAGAAATCAGGAGAAATCAATCAAAGAAATCAAGAAACCAGCCCCCCCCCACCTTGTGTTTAACATGTGAATAAATCTCATAGCAGCAATATTGAAAACGATCATTTTATTTATCAATGTAAAATATCATTAAAACAGATGAAAATATTCATAAGGTTCGGTTTAAATTCCCAAATAAGCTAAAACATAGATGCAAATAGATTTCATGATAGGATTCATCAACGGGGAAAACATGAATGAAGAAGGGAGTGTTTCTCCGCTGGATATTCCTACCACATTTGCAACCATTACAAATATTGCTGAATCTCTTGTTACATGTTTCCAGGATGTCATTATCGGGCTTTTCCCAGTATATCGTTATTGCGCTTGTCTTGGCTCTTTCCAATCAACATAGATCCATCAATGACTCATCTGCTCTTTTCTTTTGCGCTTATCATTATACTACTACGCAACATAGTTTTCTTTCTCTTGCTGGGTTTTACTCATCCGCTTTTATCTTCATATTACGCTGCATGTTATTTTAAAAACTCAAAGTCGCATAGTAACGACTCGGACAATCGATAAAAAGAGCGTGAAATGAAATAAAATATATGTGAACCGAAAGCGATGAATATTTGTAATAATAAACTTACGTGCAAACACCAGCAGCTTAAATTAGCCGAGTGTGGGAATTTTTGAATCTATTTCTTTGATGATGAGTAATTTTTTAATTTTTCTTTAACTTATTGAGATAGAACAATTCTAAATGGCAAATACACAGAGTGGGAGAGCTCATTGGAAAAAACCAAACCTTATAGTATAAAAAAACAAATTCATCTAGAAACAACACTCATCTTCGTATTATTGAAAAACTTCTTTTGTCGCCTATCATTTTTAAACAACTCATACTCGTTACACACGACAAATTTAATTCTAATATTTATATAAGCCAAGTAAGTGAATTGTTTTCCAGGTCATTGCTTAGTTTGAAACTAAGTAGGAATGTTAGATCTGTAAATAGCAGTGATGCATGTCTCCATTCGGAATCATATTCGAACTGTTTGTTTGTCTCTGCAATTAGTTTCATGATGTGAAGAGTCTCCTTATGAAAAGTTCAGTTCAATAGAATGACTTGAAGTAGATTGATTCGAAATATCGACGCGAAATAAGCAACAAAAAAGCGTATTTTAAACACCATTTACAACTTACTTGTACGCTTTTCAGCAATGAAACTATTGCTACGAGCTATTTTAAGTAGTTTACGACACATGAAATGGTTGCAGTTCTATCATTGACTTGTTTCTTAAAATTTCAATGTTGAAAGACAACTTCAGAATCCCTTAAATATGGAAAAACTTAAGCGGTTATAAGCTTTTCATGTGTCAAATAACTTGTAAATCGTTAAATTTTAACTGCTTCGAATGCTGCAAATCATTTAAAACAGCTTAAAATATAATCTTCAGCCCGCAACTCTGTTGTGAGCTATCGAAAACATGTCTTTTGAAATGTTTATTTTGCTTAATACTTGCAAGTTAAGCTCGTTTTCTTCGCTTAGAATACGTGTTTGAAAATATATCAGTTCGATATTATGTAGTTCTTTATTTTTTCACTGCTTCGGATTGATGTACTCTTGTGCGAATGGATGGAAAAAGGAAGAACGGAAAAATATTGAAAGCAAGAATATGAGATGAACATAAGCATGTAAGATTGAATTGAGGGTGAGAGAAACTTGTACTTCAATATACTCTCGTTTTCAGCATTTCTATCCAACCGCATGTGTACTAATTTTGTTTTCGATATTTTCCCTTTCTTCCTTTTTCCATCATACCTCTTGTGCTCTTTACACAGCAGGTGTCGGAACATAAATAAAAAACTAATTATTACTTGGATAAAAAACTATGATTACATACTTCCGTTTTGGTCACTTTTCCCCCCGATGAAGCAATGAATGAGTAAGTAAAGGAAGAAAGCGAGACGGTAGTATGTTTATTTTTAATTATTACGTACATACCAAAGGCAATAGTTAGAGATTATACTTGATTGAAATATAGTGATATTTTAAATGTAATCGAGAAGCGTGACACAACGTTGTGTATGCGCATAAAGTCGAACTACCCGTTTTCGTCTAATAATTCTTGTTATGACCAGTATTCCTGTAGTGCTATAAGAGAGATATTACGATTAAGAATTTAAAAAATGCTTGCAGTATGACAGCGTTCTCCTCTATCTATACTAACGAGTTGAACATTCACGCGTTTCCGAACAGAAATCAAGGGTACACACCTGTTAACCCAAATAACTAGAATGCTCGGCATGCATAAACGATTGAAAAATACCAAAGTTTTAGCTATTCATTTGTTTTCCTAAAAGAATAGTCAATACGGAGTTGATAATTAGCCGTTCACATTCTTGTTAATCGGTGATAGAAAGTGGTGAACCTAGATCTGTAATAAATCCGGATCTAAACACTGAATTAGTGAAAAAATAAAACTTTGAATTAGGATTGATAGTTCAAGAGAAGTCTGTCTTATCAGAATTGGCTTGAAGATTTCCAAAACTTTAGATATTTATTTTCGAATGAAAACGATTGTTCTAATTAAAAAATTTGCCGGCTCGTTTTTTTATAACATCGTCTATATTTTTCTTAGAAAATAAAAGGAACTATTTTTTAAAAAGGTATTTACGAAGCTGATAGTGCGAATTACAATTAAAATTAGGTTCATTTGAGACCAGTGGATGTAGAAGCTCATCCTTTAGAGCTATTTCATTCTTGTATTACTGTTAACTTTCTTTGTATAGCATTAATAGATAGTTTCAAATAAATAAAATTCTTTGAATAAATTTCAAAGAACGCAAAAAATGATGAAACCACTAGAAAATTTTCCTCGGAAGCTTGCCATGAAAATTGAAAATAAGTCGCAGTAGGAGGTTGCAGAATAAAAATACCTTTCTCGCCTTCCTGACGATTGAAATGAGTCAAAACTGGATATCCATCTTTTATGCTTCATGAAGAGACTGCTCACATCCGTGACAAAATGATGTCATTCAAGAAATGATTTTCTATATAAAAGCGAATAACATGAAAGTAGACTTCAACAAAGTGTCTTTCGCAAACTAAAACACAATAGTAACCAATAATAGGTAAGTGTTGAAGAGACACCAGACGAAAAATTGAATTAGTATTCGAAACTATAATAGAGAAAATTAGCTTTATCTTCAAATTTTCTTCTTTAGCATTCTTGTTATTCAATCATGAACGTATCTTCATATTTCTAAAAGTTGCGAAAGTTTGTCGTCGTTCGTTTTCTGAATTTATCTTTGTATGACTGCGTAGTTTTCAAGAATACAGCTGTCGAAGTGTGAGTGAAAGTGTGTGCGTACCGGCCCATTTGTACTCTTACATGAAGAGAATTGATATCATTCTAACTTCAGTTTCCCAAAAGATTCAAATGAAATGACGTTGACAAAAATTTCTTGGAAATTTAATTCTGATATTTAAGAAAGAATGATAAGAAAATCATTTTCACACGAAACGCATACATAAATAGTCTGTATATCTTTGGTCGATGGGTTGAGTTCGGTTGGGCCAAGAAATTTATATTTTAATGAAAATCTATATACAGATGTGGAGCGCGGATGAGTGCCTGAAAAATGGACCAACGCTGAAGCCACACCCTAAAAATAAATCTCCTAATCTAACCCACACCCCAAAAGATACGGATATTATATACACATAAAACAATATTCTTTTATAACAAAATGGATTTCCTGATTAAATCTATACAGTAAATTTTTCATGATCTCAGTAATTTTGAAAGTCCTGGAAATAGGAATTTCCCATGCATTCCATCATTTTTCTGGTATTCTACTTATGATTTCGATGCAAATGTGAAATCGAGTTTAAAATAATTTCACAATCTCGTGATGAAGTTTCATGGTCTATTGAAATAGTGCACGAAATGTAATATATTCATGCGTAACTCGAAGCCACATTGTAATTTCTCTTCCTTTATGCAATTGCCTAATGTGATGTGGCAACACTGATAAAAACAATTGAAGTATACCGATCTATATAAGGTACTGTAGTCAGCATGTGTTTTTCTTCCTGTCCAAATGTTTTGTGTACGCAATTGGAATTTTATACAATTCTAGATTTTGTTTTTCATCGCATTTTGTTACCTATTTGAAAAAATATGAGAAGAGATTTATTTGATTTGGAGAAATATCCGCTTAATGATATTCGATTATTTTGTTCTAGGAATATCAGAGAAAAGGTAATGTGTATTTTGTTCTCTGTTGAACGTGATAGGAAACCTTATATGCGAATAGTTTTCGGTAGTGTCAAATACTTGAAACTTGAATTCAGTTGAAAATAGAAAATTTCAACTTTCAACTTTCAACTCATAGCGATATATGTGTGAGTCATGATTCTTCAGAATGCTATTGGTTTAAAAGTTGAAAATTGAAATTTTCAATTGAATTCAAGTTTCAAGTTTGACATATATGATAGTTTTCGTGGAAAAATCAAAGCTTTCATTTTGAATACTAGTTCACTTCTCCAGTTAGAATTATTTCATCAGATTTACCTCTGATAACAGGAGATTAACTAATGAATCTCATAGGAACCTTAATATCTAAAGCAAAGTGAAAACGTTTTTTCTCAACTGCATGTTAAGAAAATTGACTCTTCTAGAACTAGATGGTATTCAAGTTTCACTCGAATCGGATCTTCACGAAAAATCTTCAATTCTGACAAATCTTGAATACTTTTTATGTCGACATGACGAAATTCATCACTGAGAAAACAATCAGTTGCTTCTATTGTGATGCAAAGGTAGCTATAAGAATGATGAGATATGTATGATGAAATTCGCAGATGAAAACTCGAATACCCAAACAAATCAAGACTAAAAAATCCGAAGTAAAATAAACATTCTGTTTTTAACTACGTATGATGAACGACTGAATGAGAATACTCTTTAGTAACGCGCGATCGATGGCTCGGAATGTTTCCATATGAATACAAAGTATCGAAAAAATATTACCATAAAACTTTAATGTTACCTGCGACATTTAATTTTCAGGTACTTGTAAAATTAATAGTCAATCAAATAAAAAAGGGCCTTTAATATAGTCATTATTTTCAACTAAAATATCATGGTATTTTAATGACAGCTATCTATCATTGATATGTACTCTTATAGGAGAAACCTCATCCAGTGATTGGGCGTGCGGTTCTTACTAATGTATATTAGTCATGACGACGTGGCGATAATAGTGTCGCATTCAACGACTGAAAAAAAATAAGTTCATTAACATCTGAATAATAGAGTTGAGTGAGAACGTTCGACATGTTCTCTGAATCATCATTGATAGATTGCTTTACTTATTCTTGTATCTATCTAGCAAAATAGTTCCAAATTCGACATCAACGATATCGCTAAATGCAAGAGAAAGAAAGCAGTTCGCATGTCTTGTGATATCAACCTACATGACAAGCATATTTTCTTCGTTCGTTATGTTGACTTTGTGTAAAGAATAATAATGTTGAGAATAAGTCCCATTTGTCAGCTTTTCACATGCATGTTATCAATTGTACTAATAAAAACACATAGCATTTTACTTTTATGAGTCACCTCAGTGGAAAAATCCATCGAATAGATGAATCGGTTATTTACAACATAACTGACAAATATATACTGTAACATTAAATCATACCATTATTAAGATAAAAAAAATCTCTTTTTTATTTGTTTCTTTCATAGAATCCTACGGTATCGGAAATCTTGATATCTTTCAAAATCGATGGAAACACAAATCATACCTTCGTTCTGCAATATTCAGCAGAAAACTACATACAACAGAATAGTATTTGATAGCACCAATGGCTTGAAACCCGAATTACGCCGATTAGCAACATTTGGACCACTGTCACTATATACACATTCAATGCCTACAAAAGGAATACTCGCAAAATTTGGAATCTACTACACAGGAAAATCAGATATAGTGAAATGTGATGGATGTGATTTCGAACATGAATTGTTTAAATCAGATATAAACCCAATTGAGGAACATAGGAAACAAAGTCCACAATGTCAATTTGTTTTAGATAACAATGCACTCTCTCAGATGAATCGTACGGTTTTATATTTTTATTTGTCAATATTTTAAAGATAAGAATTGTTTCTTCAACATTTAGATCAACGATTATTATCGACTATAGCAACTTCAGCACGAAGGAATGTCGTCGCTTCGAATCATCAAACTGAAATGGATCTAGATGATAATGATGATGCGGACGATGAAAATCTACAAAAATTATTTATCAAATCATTACCAAAAGAAATGCTCGATAAAATTCGAGCAGATACATTCTCCAATTGGCCAATAATCACGCCTTCTGCAAAAGACATGATTAATTCTGGTTGGACATTTACTAATATTGCAGATCGTGTTATATGCATTTATTGCAATACAATAGTGCATAAATGGACAACAACGGATCAGCCCTATGAAATTCATCGATTGAAATCTCCTCGATGTCCTTTTGTGTTGGTGACGGAAAAAATGAATTCAGCGAAACCATCTGCTACAAAAATAGCAATTACTAGTGCACCTAACGTAGAGACTGCTGTTGCACCAGTTACTAATAATTATACTTTAGCGCCTCATCGATATGAGACTTTTCAAAACTGGCCTCAGACCGAAACAAATCCATTGCCTTCTATAGAGTCATTCGTTAGCGCGGGATTTTTCTATACAGGTTGAGTTTTCTATATTCATAGATAAAAATCAATACTGAAATGTGTTTAATTAGGCGAAAACACCGTTGTCAGATGTTTTTATTGCAACGGCTCTCTCCGTAACTGGCAGAGTAGTGATGATCCGAAAATAGAGCACTGCAGATGGTTTCCTCAATGTGCCTATATTCGGCAATATGTCGGAGAAGACCTATATCAAGCTATACAGAAAAAGAATTGTGAAATTCAACGTATGTCAATGGAGATTCCAACGACTCGTAAAGTTCTTATTTTCTTTCCTTTTTCAATTAGATCAGCAAAACAGCCCAAACGACATTAATGCTCAAAGATCGCAAAGCGCTCCATGGACAGAAATTGAGCTTGCTAGAATGGTTAAAGCGCGTCTTGATTTACCCATAGTCGAAACACTTCGCCGAATGGGTTTCACCATGGGAATCATCAAGTAATTTATATGATAAACTTCCTATTAAATCTGCTTTATATACTATTTTCTCCTTTAGGAAAGCATTTGAAAGCCAATTGAGAAATAAACGTAAATTGTTCGAAAATAATATTTAAATATGTTTTTGATATATATTTTTCTTTTACAGATGATGATTTCAAAACTGACAATGATCTTCGATTGGCTTGTCTCATACTTCATCAACAAGTTAAATTAATCAATGGCAATAGGAATATTCTACTTGTTCCTGAAGATTGGATGAACAAATATATCGAAGAACAAAAGCGAGCTATGGATCAATCTACACCAGAACACTTAGAAACTTTACAGACACCTGCTATGGGTGAGCACATAATTTTCTATGTTGCCAATTTCATGCTATTTTGTTATTGTTTTATTTAAGATGCCGAAGCACCTGCAGTTTTGACACAAGTGATAGCACAACCGAAGATAGTGCCAAAACCAGGTATGATTACTAAAACGAAGTTTTCTTTTATCATTTTTTCCTCTTCTAATTCTTTCAGATGAAGAATCAATGTTATGTGTACTCTGTCTTACAACGGAACGTCAAATAGCCTGTATGCCGTGTGGTCATTTCACTAGTTGCGTAGAGTGCGCCCACAGTTTACGGACATGCCCAATCTGTCGAGCACCGGTCAAAGCTTTTGTTCGGATATACGTGTAAATCCGAAGAAAAATTTCATTTGCTAATTTGATTTCAGAAATCAGCATGCGAACTTACTGAAATATTTATTTTTCAAAGTTGTGCGAGTCAAAATTTTCTGTAATTTTGCTAACTATATCACTAAAATTCGATATGTTCTTTGTTGCACATGAGTAGTCACTCATCGGAAAAAAATGCATAGTATCACAGTACGTGTTCTTCACATAAAAATAAATAAATTAAAAATAAATTTCACCTTTTTATCATCTCTACGAACTCAAATTATTATATTCCATTCGTTTTTAAAAATTCTTTAGGAAGTCAAAGTACGAAGTAATACTCGTCAGTTACTAAATTGAGAGAATTATTTTTCTATTTTTTGAATGAATGCTTTTTTTACATAAACACACAACGAATTTCATATCTGAACTTTGAATTGTCAGAAAGTATAGCTGAATAGATATTTGTGTTACCTATGAAATAAGATATTCGAATGAATATCGAAAGTAAGAAATAATGAAGAAAGAGTAATTCTGTCAAAGAAAAATAAATCAGATCGATATATGAGCTTTGTTCTACAAAACAAAATAGCACAGGAGTACTAGCCATTAAACATTTAGATATTTCTCAGATACAATAGCTTTCTTTCTTCATCTAACAAAATCAAATTCAGGGACGGCGCGAAGCAACAAAAATATAGGGGGTTACTTGAAAACGGGAGGTTTTTTTCAAAAATCGGAGTAAACCAATAAAAATCTCTTCTATTTTCTTCAAATCGGAGTAAAATTGAAACAAAAATTTCCAAAGTTGGGGGGAACCCCCCCCCCGCCCGTTCGCGCCGTCCCTGATCAAATTGTTTCTTTTTGCTTGAAATATTTTTGTTGCGTCAAAAATATTTTTTTTTGTATGAATTTTTTCCGTTCAATTGTAAAGAAATTTCATGATTTTTTTTCAAAGAAAACTATAAATTTCACATACTTTTCAGAAATGTCGATTTGGATAACTTTGTTAGCTGCGTAAGCATTGCTTCTGTTTTATTTTAACCATGACACATTTCAATGTCAACCAATACGTAAAATTTTGATATTATTATTTTACTCTATGCAATTGTAATGAATCAATACCATGATAGCATTGAGTCGAATTTCTATTCGAAGATTTCATTCAACGAAATAATGCAAGGCACAAAGCATTAGATCATAGATTTTGGTCTGAAAATTTAGAAGTGATGCTAACCAACAGACTATGTTGAAGAAAATGCCCCCCATTCTGTTGTAAAACTAAGTATCCGTTGCTTTGAGTCGCTTCTGTTGTGATACATGTTTTTACTTAACATTGAATCAATGATTGAAAAATAAAAATCATGCGTCATATTCATTTTTCTTTCCCAAAAAGAAAAAAAAGGCGTACTTTGCTCATTCAAGGTGAATCTCAACAAGTACTCGTATCTAAGTGTTTAAGTAGATTGGTAAAATCATTCTAGATGCTATTTTTCAGCGTTGGAGACATCATGTTAGTGTATTGAGTCATTTATTTACTTTTACTTGTCTGTGTTGATTCAACGGTTTCAATAAAAATAATGCAAGATGGGCAAAAAAAAATTTTTTCTGTAAGAAAAGGGCTGTTGGTTTCTTATAAGCATCAGAAAAAAAACAATTTTAGTATGCGACGCTGGTATTCATAATCTTTTGGTGAATTTTCTATATTTAAGAAAATCTGTTGATTTGTAAAATATTTTCCACGATACTTTTGCTATCATGAAATCTCTCAATCATTTTCCTCAAGTATTCTTTCACTAGAGCAACGATGATAATTATTGATGAATTTTTGAGAACAGTGTTGAAACTAGTAAATATTTCAGAGAACATACATCTATCAAATATAACTTTTTTGAAGTCATTCAAATTCTGCAATCAATACCTATCGTTCGAGCCAGACAATCCAATGGTAGCCTATTTTCAGTATTGTAAATAAGTTCATAAAAAAGAATTGTATTTTTTCAAATGCATTCGAAATTGCCGTTTCTTTCGTTGGTGATATATTCGCTGAATGATTGAAAATCTTTTCCTCATACATTTCACTATGAGATTTATCATATTCGACTTGATATTGCATCTAAATACCATAGAATATTATTTCTTTTCAAAGAAATTTATAATTATACGATGAATTCAGCGTGTTTTGTTTTTGAAGCATTAAAATCAACAAAATAATATGTTCAATGTGACATCATTATTTTAAATAGATCTAAATATTTTGCCGATGGAACATTTCTTTCTATCAAAATTGAATACACGACGTTATTCAGTAGGATTTTAGTATTTCTATTTATGTTTCATCATGATTTTTGATTACCATCGTCTAAGCTACTCATGTAGAATATGATCTAGAAAATCAAGTGACCTTCAAAATATCTAGCTAGCCAAAATAATGATGCTCTCGGTTCATCTAGAACGAAATAGCTGAAAAGTTTCTTGTTTTATAGATATTCTCTAATTCAGGTTCATTTAGCAATAAATCAAATATGATAGTTTACCGTAAAACTCAACGATATTTGTTGATTATTGGTACTAACCCGAACAATTCACTACACTTAGAAAATTGTATTTTCTACTACGATTCGTACTAACAAAATCATTCCTCTTTATTAATTTATATTTTCATTAGACCTCGAAAGTGATCATTTATGTTTTGAGTTGCATAAGCAACTGCACACGATTCAGACCCAGTCTCTATTCATGACATGAGTATTCACTCATGATTAATGTAGTCACATGAAAAATGCCGCTTTTTGTTTAATCCAGTTTTGATCAGTGATTAGACTTTCTCTGTTAGTGAATGAATGAATGAATTGGAAAAGTTCAACAGGAATTTTCTTCATAGTCTAAAATAATACCTAGGAATAAAAACTTTTCGTCGTTTTTCAGCTAACACCATAGTATTCATAACCACGTGCCTTAATAGTTTCAATTTATCTAATCAAGGGCATGTGATGAATACATTCATGTCGCTTTTACATAGAAACAAAAGTTTCAAGAAAAAACTTACTCGTAGTTTCTATATTCCAATTGTGACCATTTCGTGTTGTTCTCAGTCCATTGAAATATAAAAATGTCAGCACGGTCGACTAGCGGCACACACATCAAGTTGATTTGTGACAACGATAAAGAACAAAATCGAGTTTGTTACATATGGCACGACGTCTTTTTTTCTCTCGCCGGATATCAATAAATTTTCTTTTTTTTTCAATCAATCGACCAAAATAAGATTATCGATCGCTGTCGTCTATTCGCGAGTGACTTCTCTTTTTCTCTGTTCTATTATTTTCCTTAAAGCAAAGATGAACTCAACACACTTCATTTACTTCACTTACACGATACTCTCTTCATCATCATGTATATATATACTACCGCCGATCCAATCCATATTTATTCATGTACGTACATTTCAAGAGAGAAAAAAAAGATAGACTCCAATTTAGCGAAAGAGACTTTTTTACAGTAACAACAAGAAGAAAAAGGCGATCGAATGCGTTCGCTTTTCTCTTTTTCTTAATTGACAAAATGTACAAACATAACGAACACGCACATATATGCATAACTAACGATGCTAAGCTTCTTAATCACCAATGTACATACATACGCATCGGCTCTGCTAGTCATTAGAACTCAAAATCAATAAGGAGGTACCAAATGCAATCGAATAATTCTCATTGTATGTTCAGGAAACGCCTTTTTTGTATTTTCAAAATAAACAATTTAATGACTGATTAGTACAAGTAGAATCTACTAAGTTGAAATAATATCTTAAAATAAGCTTCATTACACTGTGTTACTAATGAAAATGCAAACATAAATTCTTTTCTTAAATACAATGCATGCTAATTAAATTGTCACAGGATATACGAAAATTTTTGTCAACCAATAAAATTTTTATTCTTAACGAAAAAGAAAAGTTTCATTGATTTAAACTCATAATTTTAAATACAAATGATTAACTTTCTTTGATGTGTGTCGTCTCATGTTTACTTATGAACTATCGTTTATATAAGATTTTAAGATTGCTAAACGAAGAACAGCTTGTATACTGCATCCTGTCTTCAATTTATATCGATGGTTGAACATCGCTAGAGGAAATGAACAATTAAATTTGTTCTAGTCGAATGATACATTACAGAATTAGAATAAATTTACTGCTTATTAACATTTATTTTAACAGAGAATCATAAGAACTATGTTTTTTTTTATTCATATAGTCTTTAAAACAATCACTCGTTATTTTAAAATACCCCAAAACAGACAGCTCAATATCTAATTACTATCCTTCTAATGATGAGCGCATCATTCTATGTTTTTTATACATGAAATTGTTGTCATTGATCAACGTCCCGAAAATTCTATGGATAAGATGAACATCAACGATGAAAAGACTAGTTGTCTGTTATAAGCAGAATTAAAGTTTCAATTATTCAATATCAAGTATTATAAAGAATTATTTAAAACAGTATTTTTTATTTTAAATTTTCTACTAAAAAAAACAGCACATCATAACTAATGATATTGTATTTTCTATGACACTTTCGAACCAATTCCATTTAGAAAAAATTGATATACAGACTAATATTAAGCTGTAATGTTAAATCAATGATCATACCGAATAAGCAGCTACGAAATATTATTATATATCTTAATATGTCATGATATCTTTGAAGACTATCGAAAAATTAGATTCATCGCAAACAAGCCGTATGAATTAACTACACAACTTCAAGCAACTTGACACAGCAGACTATACTTGAATTTGCTTATACACGAAGAATTAAGCAAAAGACTTTGATGATTATCGAAGAAGTTAATCAAATAAACTGTATCTATTTCTCTCTGTCCTTGAATTAAAGATCAGCTATTATAGGAAAAATCAATGTTCAAATTAAATTAGCATTATCAACAAGACTGTCCGATCCGAAAGAAATCATTGTAAATACGATAATTTATATGAAAATCAGTGTTCAAGAAAATTTCCTCGAACTGTGACTATACTCAAAACATTTGCTCTGATTATATTAGAAAATATAATAGAACTTAGATACAAGTTTTAGATTTTGAGAACTATAGAAGATCTTATTAAGTATGTGTTTTTAGCATTTCTGCAAAGGAAAACATGAACTATATAACATATTGAAATACATTTTTATTCATATTACTATTCAGTGGATACAAGACAAGGATTGATATGATGCAACAATATTTTGCAGCTCAAGAATAACTTGATAACCAGTGGACGTTGTTCTACTAGTATTGTTAGCAATTGATCAATATAGAGAATATTATTTCTGATTGACCAAAGTCACTCGATTAATGTTAGTTACCACAAATTAAAATTACGCTGATCTATTCACTATATAACCGGTGCTTTTCTTCCTATTGTATAAATATACAAATTGATAATACATTTTAATTTTAACCATAAATAAAAAACATCTGATAGTTTTGTTCTACTTGAGTTATCAATATCAAGAATGAAAATCTTATCGATAGATTTTCATTGTTCTATACCTAAGTTATGTTTCTTAAAGCAAATATTTTCAAATATCATTCATAGACATTTTGTTTCGTTTCAGTGTCATTTCTTTATCGGTAATTGCGAACATTTTCTTTTGTATAATTGAAAATGACACATGATGAGATCTGAAAGAGAGAGTTTTGTTTTAAGGATTAATTTGAATTTCATTTTAACATATCAATACAATATAATTCGTTCTCAGTGACGCATATCTTTTGTTTATCATCCAATTAAATAAATTCTTAGACTCAACGCCTGAATAGCACGCAATGAAAATAGACTCTGAAGATTTCATGAATGTCAAATGTAAAAAGAACAAAAATAAATGAGAGAAATCAAATGGCAAACAAAGAATAAAGAATCGACTATTGCAAAAAAGTTCGCCATGGTATATAGAAGTTAATAAATCAAATCATTTTAACTAGAAACGATACTTACATCAGATTTCGAAAGCAATACCGAACAAAAAAAAAACAACAACTCAACTATGGTTAATAAAGTGAGATGAATTAATCCAGTAGTATATTTGCCAATCAGACAAAAATATCGTTTAGTTTGTTCTCACCAGTATTGTTGCCACAATTGTAGCAGTTGTTTTTGTTGGCATTGGTATTCTAATTGGACATTTTGCTATAACTAAAGAAGTAACAAATACTCCATGGAAATATAGCTATGTCCCTCGGCAGACAAGTCAACAAAATTATCAAACATTTATCCGTTCTATTCAGGCAGAGAATATTGAAGCAAATCTTAAGTAAATTCGATTACATTTTTATTTGAATAAAATCATGTATCATGCATATAAATATATAGAGATCTCACTTCACGTCCTCATATCGCTGGACTACCCGAAGATCTAGAGAGTGCTCAAGTGATCGAAGAACGATGGAAACGTGATGGCTTACAAGTAACCAAACCAAGATACAACGTTCTTCTTTCTTATCCCGACGATAATAGACCTAATCGGTAGATCGAAAACTCTAGAGATTAGTTTATTAGATTTGTTGAAATTTCTATTTAGAGTTATTCTCACAAATGGTGATGGTACAATCATTATACAAACAGAGGGAGTCGAAAAAGTCTATGATCCGAACCAACCAAAAACAGTCAATCCATTTCTTGCCTATACACCTAATGGGACTGCTTTCAGTGTAAGTTGTGAATAGATATCGACTATAGATTGTTTGTTTAATATATTAGACAAAACTATTCTATGCAAATTATGGTCGACTTGAAGATTTTCAGAAATTATCATTTGTCGTTGGAAATGCCAGTCTTCAAGGTAGTATCATTATCATGAGATATGGCCGTCTTTATCGCGGAAACAAGGTAATTTTTATTGCATATGAAGTAGATTAAATTCCTTTTTATAGGTCATGCATGCTCAATATTTCGGAGCAGCAGGCGCTATATTGTATAATGATCCAGCTGATTATGCTCCATTCGGTATCGCACCTGATCAAGTCTACGATCAAAAATGGTATATGCCTCCAAGTGGCGCACAACGAGGTTCAGCATTTATTGCAAATGGCGATCCACTTACACCTATTTATCCCTCTACCGGTTTGATAAGTGCTGTCGAATTCAAAGAGTCTAGTTTTTCTATTTTTCATAGACTATATGTATCGATTGGAAGAGGAAAACGTGAAATATCTACCAAGAATTCCTGCACAACCAATCAGCTATAGCGAAGCTCAAATGATTCTTCAGTAGGAATTTTTTGCAGCATCTCCTCAATTTTTAATCTAATAATAGCATGTATTATATTTAGATATCTACAAGGTATTGAGGTAACGGCAGATTGGCGTGGTAGTTTACCTAATGTAACATATCGTTATGGTGCGGAGCTTTTATCGTCTGCGTAAATATACTCGAACGTTGGCAATAATGTCTTTTAATCATGAATATGTATTTTTTTATTATTTAGATCCATTGAAATTCGATCATATAATCGACTCGCAAGAAAAGATACATACAATGTAATTGGAATACTGCGTGGAGAAATTGAGCCAGGTAAAATGAATTTCTCATAGTTCCAATGAGATAAACTTCTTCTTCTCATAGATCGATACATTGTCATTGGTAATCATCGGTAGGACTTTTTTATTCTTCTGTTTGACTCTTTTCTTTTGTTTTTTGACATAAAAAGATCAAGATTAGTTGTTTTCCGCAAATCGTAGCGATTAATTTTAATTTTGAGAAATAATGAGCGAATGACTAGAACATTAAAAATAAAGTGTATTTTGATTTTAGTGATGCTTGGAGCTTGGGCTCTGTCGATCCAACAAGTGGAACAGCAATAATACTAGAAATTACTCGAGTTCTTAGTCAAATGTATCAAAATGGTACTGTTTTCTTATTCGAATTTATTTCCTAGTACATTCAACGTTTTATTTTTAATAGGATTTCGCCCACGCCGTAGTTTAATGTTTTGCTCGTGGGGTGCCGAAGAATATGGACTCATCGGTTCAGTAGAATATGTTCAGGTAATTTTGGTTTTAGTCAATGTTCATGTATAGTAAAATAGTTAAAGGAGCAATTTATTTTCCAGGAATATGCAAAAGTATTAGGAGCTCGTATTGTTTCGTACCTCAATATAGACGGTCCTATTCGAGGTAATATTTTCTTTTACTAGACATAATAATTATGCGCTAAGACATTTGTTGCTTTTCTAATAGGATATTATTCAGTTTCTGCCAAAGCTTCGCCATTGCTATTTGATATCATCGTCGAGGCTTCGAAAATGGTTTGTTTAGTTTTAATATTGAATAACTTTGTGTAACTGGAAAAATAGGTTCCAAGTGCATATGATCCACCTGGTCAAACGATTTATGATAAATGGATGAAAGTTAATCGCAATGATTTGACCAATGAACCGAAGTATGTGTCATAGAATTCGCCGTTCAAATCATGTATTTGTTTTCCTTTGTCTATATAGAATTAAATATGGTTTGGGATCTGCTAGTGACTATTTTGCATTCGATCAACTAGTGGGTTCATCTAATTTTGACGTATCATATACGTTTAATCCTATCGACCATGGAAATATAACCGGATATCCACTTTATCATACGTCGTATGAAACTTTTTTTATGATGAAAAAATTTATTGATCCTGATTTTACAGTGAATCAATAATTATTATGTCTATTTATTTTAATTTTCTATTATATATTTATTACTTAGGCTCATAAAACAATAGGCCAATTCGTAGGAGTATTAGGATTACTTCTTTCCGAAACATCTATTTTGCCATTTAATGTTACACGATATACGATAGTACTTAAACAAGCGATGATGAATATTCCACAGAATAATAAACAATTTCGTATGAATAATTTTTTTCGATTAATTTCCTTCATCTAAAAAGTTACTTTAGCAATATTTCGAAACGCTGTCAATGATTTTGAAAAAGCAGCGCAAGATTTTGAGATCCGTTGTAAATCACTAAATATTAACAAGTCAGTAATTTCTATCGAAAAGAAAAATATCTTCATCTTAAATTTAGTCCGTACGAAATTCGAGCGTACAATGATCAATTATTACAACTTGAACGCGCTTTTCTAAATCCATTGGGACAAGGTGAAGATCATACTGACTTAAAGTAAGAAAATAAAGTCTTTTTTTTTTTAAATAATTATATGCTCTCAAGTTGTTTTTGTTTATGTAAGGCATATTATTTATGCACCAGCTAAAATTAACAAATATGATGCTTCTGACTTTCCAACAATCGGTGATGCACTTGCTAGCGGTAATCAAACAGAAATTGATCAAGCCATAGCCATTGCTATTTACTTTATACGTGGATCTGTATCAACATTGAAACAATATGATAAATTTATGTTTTAAGATGATTTGAAAATCTACTTTTATTAATGATATTAGTTGTTAGTAGAATAAAAATCGATTGTATTTTATAATTATAGAAATTGTTTGTAATTTAATTTGTTCGATAATTAGATGAAATTCGATTTTCAATGAAAATCTATTGAACATTATGGAAATAATTTTCAAGATCGAAAATCTAAATTCTGACTAAACATAGTAGTACTAATAAGAACACGAACATCGTGTCTATTTCTTAATGTGTTCGTCCTATAATATGTTTGATAGGCATCGAACTCAGACAATTTGTAAATACAATTGAGTTCAACAATCGACTTCGTCAGAGTAAATCACAAGTTATTACTAAATATTTGTACACCTGAAATGATAGCCACGAAAAGAGGAAAAAAAAATCTTCCGCTTAAAGTTTATCTGACTTAATCTACAATGTCGTTGCTTGCACAAACACGAATCTTTTTCTTCTTTCAATTTGCCAATTATTTACGCACGTTGAAAGATTAGCAATGGTGCATAGAGTATATCGTTTTTTCTTGTTGCAATATTCAAAGTCGTACATATTGCAACATTACGAATTTTTGATTACTTTCACATGACTTTTGAACATACATTATACCAATGGAAAATAAATTCACATTTGTAACTGAATTTTACATAGAATTAAATCTAATCGAATGTTATTTCGACTAGACCTTTATGCCCTTTGTGTGTTAACTATAGCGAAGACACAAGTTCGGCGAAGAATAGTAAACTATTGATTTTAGAACACCTCGACAGAAAAAGAAAAGTGAAAAATTCGGATGAAAGGTGTTTAAGCCAGTGACATGTCAGCATACACATAGAGTTAATATTAAAAAAAAAGCTTCTCAATAAATACAATAAATGTCAAGCAACATAGATAAAAAACCAAGTGAATACTAACACTTTTAACTACAATGGATAAGGTATAATTTTATTCCTTTTCTATCTTATTGAATAGCATGAAACTTCTACTTTTAGCGCTTTTACTTCACTACTTTTCTCGCTGCTCTTATTGCATTAGGCATTGGTATCAGTATTGGTCATTTTGCAATAGGAAAACAGCAGACCACTAACTCTGTTAAATATGAACGTCTTACAAGACAAACTGACGCACAAAATTATGAAAAATTCATCAGTTTGGTTCAAGCAAAGAATATTGAAGCGAATCTTAAGTAAATTCAATTGCATTTCTATTTGAATGAAATTATCTATGAACTTTGAATATATAGAGATCTTACTTCACGGCCTCATATGGCTGGCTTGCCAGAAGACTTAGAAAGTGCTCAAGTGATCGAAGAACGATGGAAACGTGATGGTTTACAAGTAACCAAACCAAAATACAATATTCTTCTTTCCTACCCTGATAATAATAAACCGAATCGGTATATTGAAAGCTCAAGAGAATTCTTCAGTTACCTTATTATATTTCTATTTAGAGTTACTCTCACGAGTACAGATGGAACAATCATTATTCAAACTGAAGGAGTTGAGAAAGCCTACGATCCGACACAACCAAAAACAGTCAATCCATTTCTTGCCTATACTCCGAATGGGACGGTTTCTAGTGTAAGCTATGAACGAATCTATCAACTATTGATTGTATTTTTGATCAATTAGACGAAACTATTCTATGCTAATTATGGTCGACTTGAAGATTTGAAACATTTGGCTTCTATTGTTGGAAATGCTAGTCTTCAAGGTAGTATCATTATCATGAGATATGGTCGCATTTTTCGAGGAGATAAAGTATGTTTTTTGCCATTCTTATTAGTATACGGGAATACGCTAAGAAATTGTCGTATCATTATTTAGGTGATACATGCTCAATACTTTGGAGCTGTTGGTGCTATATTATACAATGATCCGGCTGATTATGCTCCATTCGGTACTACACCAGATCAGGTCTATGATCAAAAGTGGTTTATGCCACCCAGTGGAGCACAAAGAGGATCGTCCTACACTGGCAATGGAGATCCTTTGACACCTACATATCCATCAACAGGTTTGATAGTCTTTTTACTCATTAGATTATGGTACGTTATATTGTTCGAATACTATAGATTACATGTACAGAGTGGAAGAGGGAACTATTTCATCTCTGCCGAGAATTCCTGCTCAACCGATTGGCTACGGCGAAGCCCAAGTAATTCTTAAGTAAGAGATCCTATTTCGTTACGAGTATTTGATAATGAAAAGTGTGGAATTTAGATATCTACAAGGAAGTGAAGTAGCTGCCGAGTGGTGTGGCACTTTATCAAATATCAGATATCGCTATGGTGGCGTACTTTTGAATAAATCGTAAGATAAATCGTTTTTTCTAACTCAAACAATTACCTATTTTTATTTGTTTAGTTCAATTGAAGTGAAAACTTACAATCGTCTTGAACGAAAAGACACTTACAATGTAATTGGTATAATGAAAGGAGACATTGAACCAGGTTCGCCGACAGTTGTTTTCTTACGTACACGAACTTCAGTTTATTTCTAGATCGATACGTTGTTATCGGAAATCACAGGTAAGATACTAATTATGGCAGCTTTGCTAAACATTTTCTTCGACATAAACAATCAGTCATCAGCTCTAAATTTCTCCATATTGCGAATTTTACATTTGAGAATTAAAAAAGAGAGTGGTACAGGTGATGCCGAGTGCTGTTCTGTTTTCAGAATTTCGACTGTTCTATTCAATGCCTATTCACAAAAGTGTTAACCGATTATAACATTTCAGAGATGCTTGGAGTTTGGGTTCTGTCGATCCGACAAGTGGAACTGCTGCTATGCTTGAAATAACACGAGTACTTGGTGAAATGGCAAAAAATGGTACTTTTTTTGTATTCATATCTGTACAATACTAGAACTGAAGCTTCTCACTTTC